GCGCTCAGCCAGGTCAGGAGGACAAGGAGGAGTTCCGACCTGGAAAACTGAGGTTGAGCTTTGAAGAGCTGGAAAGGCAAAGGGTTGAAGAAGAGCGCAAGAAAGCAGAGGATGAGGCCAAGAGACGAATGGAGGAGGAGAGAAGAGCTTTTGCTGAAGCCAGGAAGAGCATGGTCAATATGCTTCCCATAAATAAATACAAAATTCAGTATGAAAAATCAAATGAAACAAATATATATAGTGATAATGTCATTATAATATATCTTCTGATATCCTTAAAGGAACAGTTAGACTTTTACTGAAATACACTTGTTTTCTGGTGGTGAGAAGATTGATACAGATAGAAGATAGAGGAAATATTGTGTTAATTAGTGAGCTTGAAAAGATGATCAAAGCTCACCTTGCTGTGTTCTTGCTCAGCTTGTAGATGAGGATGATGAGGTGCTGATGGCCCTACTGAACCTGGAGGGCAGTAAGCCCGGGAAGATATGCGCTAGTTTTGAGGATCTGGAACGCCAGAGAAGAGAAGAGGAACAGAAGAAGGCAGAGGAGGAGGCCAAGAGGAGACTGGAAGAGGAGAAGAGGCTCTTTGCTGAGGCCCGCAAGAGCATGGTATGTCTACTTGACTCAAAAATAATACTCCGCATGCACTTTGCTGATCATTAACGTGTTAGAAAATGGTAGCTTTTGTTATTCAGGCTTTGACTTAATTTGCTGCTGCTGAGCTGCTCCCTTTTAAAATCCCTTTTAAAATAACTGGGAAACCTGCATTATAACAAAATGTTAAATGGCCAAAACACACATACAAACAGCCCATTCATACACTTTATTTATATTTTATAATTCTCATTATAACAGCATTACAAATAAATATCAGTAATGACCAAAGAAATTATGGTCTGCATCAAACCAACACCTATTTTAACTTTTCACACTGACTCTGTCTAAATGTTACTTATAATTTGATTCTAATTGGATGAAGATTAATAATTTTTGTTCATGTATTGAATATCATTGTGATGGGCTCAAATGGTACACCTGCATTGCTGTTCCCTTTAAGAGCCCTGGCGTGGATCAGAAAAGGTCTGCATATGGACATGAAACAGTAAGATATTTTTAATTTCAATTAATTAAGAAAAATAAGAGGAAACAACAGTTGTTCATACAGTATGCTATAATTAATTTATTCCCTGGAAGTACAAGGGCACAGAGGTCTACAGATGATTGTATGTGTTTTTTTATGCATGTCTTTAAATGCTATGTGCAACAATAGAATGGCACCTGCTTATTTTTGCTGGTTTTATGACACTATTCAATGTCAGGTAAGTAATTCGACAAGTGATTTGCTCTATTAGAAACCAAAGCTGATACTGTAATACGACATCGGCACAGTACTTGACACCATCAGTCAGTTCATGCCCAAATATACATCTCTGCCTTTGTGTGTACTTGTGTGTGTAGGCACTAGATGAGGAAGAAGGGATGGTGAAGAGTGAATCTCAGGAAGCACTGCACCCTAGAAAACTGGAAATCAACTTTGAAGAGCTACTGAAAGAGAAGGAGGAGGCTGAGAGAAGACGCAAGGCAGAGGAACGCAAAAAGAAAATGGAGCAGGAGAAGCAGGAATTTGAACAACTCAGACAAGAGATGGGCGAGGTCAGTCTGGAACAGATGAACATTTATGTGGACCATGTCCATCACATACTGTATAACTTTCTCAGCCAACTACGCCTGAGAATCCAGGCCTTGTTTCCAAATATATATTTTGAATTCCTGTAAACTCATACATGACATATCTCATTGTGATTTTTTTTCATTCCACATTAGGATTACTCTTTCTATCATTTAGTGTTAGAGTTCTCACAGCTACACTAAATAAACTGGCTTCTATCCTCACACAGGACGAAGTGAATGAAAGCTCAGATGTTGTCAGCAAAGAGTATGAAGAATTGACCAAGCTCAAGAGGACTGGCTCCATCCAGGCCAAGAACCTCAAGTCCAAATTTGAGAAGATCAAGCAACTGACTGAAGAGGATATTCAGAAAAAGATTGAAATGGAGAGAGCACGGAGGAAGGCTGTTGATGATGAAATTAAAGAGAGAGAAGCTGAGAGGTTCCAGGAGGTAGGAGTAAACACATAGTACACAGGGATGTACATTTTCCAACGAGATATCAAGAAGTCACAAAACATTTTTTGTATTTGATTTGTTGAAATTACCAAATAAATGTTCTCCCTTCTTCTTTTTTTCTTTACATATAAAAATTTCTGTGTTTTCCAGGAGGATGACGAAACAGAAACAACTCCAGCAAGGGCCGACGAGTCGCCATTTAAACAGAAGGTGGATATGCGAGCCCGATTTGAACAAATGGCCAAAGCCAGAGAAGATGAGGAGAGGAGGAGAATAGAGGAGCAGAAGCTGCAGAGAATGCAGTTTGAGCAGCAAGAGATTGATGCTGCCCTCCAAAAAGTAAATCTCCCATGTTCATGACCATATATGATCTTTCCTTAAGCATGACAGCATAGCAAGAGCTCCGTTTAAGGTTGCTTTGACCCTGGCAACAGTTCATTTTTCCCCCCCTCTGTTTACAGAAGAAAGAGGATGATGTGGAGGATGAAGGTAGCATCATCAACGGCTCTGCAGCCTATGAAGATGAGGAAGATCATGCCAGGTCGGGGGCTCCGTGGTTTAAAAAGCCCCTTAAAAATCAATCGGTGGTGGACTCGGAGCCAGTGCGGTTCACCGTTAAGATCACAGGGGAGCCAAAGCCTGAAGTGACCTGGTGGTTCGAGGGAGAGATGCTCCAGGACTGTGAGGACTATCAGTATATAGAGAGAGGAGAGACATACTGCCTCTACCTGCCAGAGACCTTCCCAGAGGACGAAGGAGAGTACATGTGTAAGGCTGTGAACAGCAGAGGCACGGCCGCAAGTACCTGCATCCTCACAATAGAAAGTAAGACCACCTTGGTGTGACTGCATGCCTGCATGATACCTCATCTCTACAAAGGGGATAGTATGCTCCTCTTCCTCATGAACTCAAGCTGAGTGGCTGATGTGGATAACTGGTCTTCTGTTTCTTTCTTGCAGCTTATGACTACTGATGCCCTTCCATGTTCTGGAAACTTTCCCTGTTGTCTCTCACTCCTTTTATAAAAAACCTCGTCCCTCATGGTATGACACAGCAGAGGGAAGAACATAGCAGTATGCTTGGCATTCCTAAGGGAGGGATACACAACACAAAAAAAAATTATTCAAGATGTTGTTTACGTTTTGCTCAAATGTAAAGCTGCACTCCCTGTTAGAGTAGCATGATACCTGTGCCAAAAACAGATTCTTGTTTGTTCTTGTTCAAAACCAACTTCGATGCCAGGCCCTTACAATATTTGTGATACCAGCAATTTTTAAATATAATAGTACTGTGTTGTAAATATCACACTTTATGGTCCATACTTGGCAAACATTATGCTTAATGCATTTAAATGTAAAAAATAAGATGTCCTCGTGTACTAATTTTAAAGAACAAGAAACAGGAAAATCAGTAAAACATCTTACATGTTTGCTTGGGTATTCTACTACTGCTCAACAACTTCAGTATAAATAAGCATGTTGTTTTCTGCATTCTTTGCCATATTACTAAATGGTATTGTGATAATTGGCTGATATTGCTGTTTATCGAGGGGTAACATGCTAGTCATCCCTTAATTGGTAAACCACAGTGAGGTGCCCGTTGACAGTGATATGACATTATAATGTCAGTTGCATTTTGCAGGAACAAAGCAATTTGAAATCATGGATTTTCAATTAAACTCTTTAGATTAAGTGTTTTTAAACTGCAGCATCTAAAAAACTTTAATATGTAGATTTTTCATGTACCAACCCCCCTTTTTTCTTTTTGAGTTAAATGTAATACTCTTGATACAGTTGTGCTGGACAGTAGGTAACCGTTTTATGGTTTGAAAATGAAGAAAACATAGGTTAGCCTGAATATTTGTCATATATTATAAATGAAAATGTTTTAATAAAAATGAACAAAAATAAAGTGTTTTGTGTCTTTATTATTGCATGGGAAAGACTTTGGGTGAACTGTGCTTTAATGGTTTAAAGTAAGTATAACCCATGGATCCATCATCATTGTATTCCCACAAACCTGATTGTTATTAAACCAGTGACTGGCTGTAGCAGAGCAAGCACCAGGGACAGCAGGTATAAGGAGATTTTATCATAGTGGCCAAAGTTGGAACTGCATGTCACATGATGCACTGGGAAAAATACAAAACTTCTGTGAAATAATAATGAAAATCTATTAAATTTAAACGGCCAATCTAGATAAAATTGTGTTTCACTCCCATGTGACAGCGATACAAAGCGGTTGCCAACCTTTTTGACTGGATACCACTTAAATTAACAAAGTGATGTTTACTTGCAATCTCTCCTCACTAAGACTGGATTGCCAAATGGAAATAGCAGGCAACTAACTGCCCCAGAGACCCAGACCCCGAGGGGACCCCACAGTCCCAGGTTCACTGCATGTCAACTGGTTTTGGTAATTTTAATAATTTCAAATGTGTTCGGGAATTTGCACATCTAAAGTACAATATCAACTCAGGTGGTTGGTGCATTTTAGCAGATTTGCCATGTCTTGTATGATGTGTCATAATATTGTGTTATTAGAGCTTTATTTTAGGTATATATGACGCATTTTCCTGATAAAGTTTGCATTAAATTTTAGGTCTGCAAGGGCAGGTCTAGAAAAATATTGATGGAGTGCCGAGTGGGTGGCATGGAGACTTTAAGGTGGAAGAAATTCTCATTTTATTGCAAACAATCACTTGCAATATCAATCAAATTGCCTCGAAAAGCCTTAAAAGGAAGAAATGATTGTCGTTCCTTTAAATAAAGCAACAAATAATACTTACGCACACCCCTTTTATTATTTTGTGACCCACATTCTGCCCCTTCATTGTGAACCTGTCCTAAACTTGCGCCGGGTGACCGTTTCCATTAAAAAGAATAAGCCGCCATATTTGTTTACCCCACTCACTTACTAACGTTATATAGCGGGGGTGCGGAACTAGTAGCATCTCCATGGAAACGGACATTGCCGGAGAACAACGACGCACAGTTTCACCGATCTGTAGCACATATGGACGGTCTCTGAAGAGTCAGCGGCTCGCTGGACGGTTCGCTTAAGGCTATCCTCTTCTTCATTATCTATGTTACGTTAATACGTTCCCATCACCATGGCCGTTTCGGTAGAGGAGGTTTCTTCGTCCCTTGTACGGGAATATCTGAGTCGAAAGGTAAGTTAGCTAACGCTCACTGGTGAAAGACCCATCGGTTTTGTATGTGCGTTTTAACAGAGCTAGCTAGCGTTAGCCACCGGTCCTCCAATGCTACCGAGTTGCAGGTATTGCTCGGAAAACTGGTTCGTTTAATGTTGTGCGACCAACGTTAGAGACTCAACTCTGAAACCAGTTTCTGCTGTCACAACCGACCAAACTTATGAGTGTTTAAAGTTACTTATTTAAGTAATGGATGATTGTCATGATCATAGCTGCTAGCATCCCCAGAGCACCTAAAAACGTGACCATGTTAAAAACTTTTGCAGTGCCGATACAAAATATGGCTCCTAGTTCCAGTTACAGAGTATATTAACGTTACAAGACACTGTGTTGATGCGCAGGGACTCAAGAGGACGATTGCCTGTATGGATGAGGAGCATCCACGCACAGAGGCCAGTATCAACAACAGATCACACTTGAGGCAGATTCTTAACATAGAGGGTCTCTATAAAAAGAATAAGGTAAGTCTTGTAACCTGGAGGTTGGCTGCTGTACAAGTGGATAACAACAACAAAAAAGGTCTGTAGCTGACATTGCCGTCATTGCAGGTTCAGTCGTCCCCTCTGAAAACATTACTGGAGATTATTGTGAAGCATCACATCAGTGGCCTTAAGAATGACAAGATGATCAGCCATGAAAGTGATCCCCTGCAGTCTGCTCGAGCTATGAACTCGATTGCTAATTCCCCTGCTGCAACACCAACAGTGATGAATAACACAATAACAGAGGATCTCACAACAGCTTTTGTTATAAGCAAACACGTCAAATTAAGGTATTTCACAAGTGACATTTTAAAATCGGTCTTTTGTGCAGGTTTGAAAACTAGACTAGAAAATTGTTTTGATCTTCTCTCTCTCTCTCCCAGGTCTGATATAGAAGAAATCTGCCCATCTCAGCCTGTATACACAACATTGTTGCCTAATTCAGATAGACTATCCAGTCATGATCAAACAGGTCTCTGGGCTTTTGACTCAGAAGACCAAAAAGGCCAGTCACTGGTGGCTTCCCTCCAGGACAATGAGAGCTTCATCAAACGAGAACCAGAAAAGAAGACTTGTATCACTGAGAGCACCCAAAGGAGCAGAGCTAATCGAATTAGACGTGGCATGATGGCAGGACCAATAGCTAGTTCACGTCAGGTACTGAACTTCTGATGCACCTCTGAAAAACCTATTGATCCCGTATTCGTCACTCACATTCATTACACTCTGTTCCATCGCTGATGTTTTATCTTTTAGGAATCAACCAAAAAGAGACAGAATCGAAGGCTAGAAGTGTCCCAGCCGCTGCTCAGAAAAGAAGAAAACAGGCATTCTACGGATGGACTTTTAGTGACAGGCTTACATCTAAAAAGCTCAGAAAGCGGCCTAACTGAAATCAACTCAGCTGACTGCGTTGGAGGGCGATGGGAGGTGCGGAGTGCACCACAGAGAGTGCAGAGGGAAAGTGGCTTTAAAAAAATGGAACATGACATACTGAAGACTAAAAAGTAAATATCTATAAGCGGTTAAAAATGACAGTGGCAACTTCACAGTTTTATACAGTTCAAATTACTTTCCCACTGAGTTTTGTTCAAAAATTTGTGTACATTGTGTCTGTTTCTTAGAATAAAGTCTTTTGCCAGGCCAAATGTGGCTGATTTGGATGTGTCTGAGATGGTTTTAGGTAAGTACCGTGTGTAAAGAAAAAGAAGGAGCATCCATTGTCTTTGCCTTTTTTGATTTGTTGTCATGTATCTGCCAAAGCTGATGCTGTGGTAATCAATTGCCAGATGACATTGATGATGACGATGAGCTGCGAGAACTCTCCCAAGTGTCCTTTCAGAGAACCATCACAGAGCACAGCTATGCTGGCCGCCCAATGGACCAACACACTGCCACGGTTGGTGATTTATGCCAGTGTTTCTTTGAAAATGCTGGGGACAGTTTCTGCGGTTGCCTTTGATTTTCTGTTTGTTTTCTGTTTTTGTTTTTCCTCCAGGAATTGAAAGCGGTTCTTCTTGGATCCAGCCTAAATTGTTTCAGTGTTGAGTGGAGGAATCAGGGTTTCACATTCTCAGAAATGCATGACCTGGGTTATGGAATTGTGCAGAAAAAGGTTGTGTTAACCGAATTAAGTGATTTTAATTAGTGCTGTCAGTTAAACGCGTTATTAACGGCGTTAACGCAAACCCATTTTAACAGTGTACATTTATTTATCGCAAGATTGACATTCTTTTTGGCCTAGCACACTTTGTAGTTTTTTTTCACATGCTGTTGCAACAACTAGTAACATTAGAAAAACTACAACACCACACCGGATCTAGCTAGACCGGAAACAAAACAACAGTAAAGAAAAAAGAGAAAAAACAATGGGACAAAAAGAAATCAAGGGACATTTAGAATAGATAAAAATGTGCGATTAATTGCGAGTTAACTATGACATTAATGCAATTAATCGCGATTAAATGTTTTAATTGTTTGACAGCACTAATTTTAATATGATTTATTAATTTGTGGTATTATGCACTCTTTATTTTCTAGGGTGGTCCATGCGGGGTTCTGGCATCCATCCAAGCCTTTGTTCTAAAGAAACTACTGTTTGAAAACATCAAAAGCAGTGACACAGTCCTTCAGTAAGTTAGCCTTCAAGTCAGAGCTTTGACTCAAAATATTAACCTCTGTGTGCCCTATTCTAATCACTTGGATTTTACAGCCATTAATTCACATCAAGGCATGCTTTGTAGCCACTGTTGAGTATTGACCTCTGCATTGTGGTATTAACTGTATTATTACCCCAAACGACCTGCTTTTCTCTCAAATGCCACCTTGTTCTCAGGAGGTTAAGACCTTCAAATGCTACCAGAAGAAAGTGTCTTGTTTTAGCTGCGGCTGAAATTCTGTGGAGGGCTGGCGAGGAAAAGCAAGCCACAGTGGCAATGTAAGATCATACTTTTTTCCACTTAATCTATAATCTAATCCTCTATATTCAGACCTTTACCAATACACAGAACCACATTACCAGTATTTAACTAGGTCAAATGCATTTGAGTACCTGGCTTAGAGGTTGAGGGCTGGGACAGTTCTGTATGTCAGTGACAAATAAGCAACATACACCACTGATGTTTTAAACTGTTTGTGTGCTTTGTTTTACCTTTATTTTTTTTAAACAGAAATTCAGGGAGAAATCATTTCACCCCAAGTGGACACTACAAATCTGAAGGAGTGCTGGAAAAGGTAGAGAGATACCACTGCATACACACCTGCTGAAACTTGGGTAGTAAAGTTACACTCAAGTTTACCAAATAGAATTCAGTTGGATTTAGCAGCAAATAGAGTTTCATATTAAAATCCTCTTCAGTATTTTCTAACTACATCAGACAAACATTCCTCAACATTAGTTTCATGAGCCATTTTATTGGGTTCAATTTGTAGAATATAACTATGTGTAAAATGTTATTGTAGGACATTCGTGCCATATTTGGATTTGGAAAAACACATTTGCACATTGTACATCTTTGTTTATTATACTATTATTCAATTGATTCCGAATGAAAACAACAAAGTGTAGCTTTGTCAATACTATGAATTTGCAAAATGATCTTTTGATTGTAAACAGTAAATGTACCAGCTATGTGTACTGTTGTGTAATTTAAAAGAAGGCTATGATTGGCACTGCAGTGGGACTTTCATAACCACCTTCTTTTTTTTAGATAACATGTTTCACTATGGATAACATGAAGGACCTGCAGTCGTTTCTTGAGCAGTATATTGAGCAGGTCAGAGATTCAGATTAAGCAAATGTCTGCCTGTAAGATGTAGGTTGCCAAACTTTGTGCTCTAATCTGTATTCCCCCCCCCACAGTTTGAGACTGGGATGTTAGGATGCATACTGCTGACCATATCTGCAGTTCTCTCTCGAACCATTGAAAGGTATGTTTTGCCTTTTCTAGCTGACTGAACAAGATGTGTGCTGTATAAAATCACTATTATCTGACTGATAAAGGCATCACCCCTGTTGTGCCCTTTTTTTGTTCTTCCCTTAGACTAAGAGAGGATATGGACGTGCCCACCGCCACACTCATTGGAGCCCATGGCTACTGCACTCAGGTTTGACATAAAACTAGAAACTTCTAAAATGGTTGAGAGTACTGGGTATTGTGTTTGTTTGTGTTTCAGAATAACACATTTTAATGAATAATTAAGGGATTGATCCCAGTGACACTGGTTAAGAGACATAAGTTTCTCTCTGCTTTCAAAATTAATGTTTAAAGGCAGAATGAGTAGGGTTTGTCAGTTTCAGTTTGTAAACATAACATTCAGACGAAACCAGAAGCACACGCCATAACTACTTCTAGGTGCTTACAGTCTGGTGATCTGGGTGTGCCAGCTGTTAATAGACAGGGCCTACACACCCACCAGCCAAAGGTTTATGCCCGGAAACGGCCTGAACACAGCAAAATAATAAAAAACAAGCAGAGGGAGGGGTCTCTGCAGATACAGATACCGCCATACACTTCCAGTGGGTTATAAGTAATGAATGAGAGATAATTTTTGTATGAGTTTATACATTGTTTTTGAGAGAAATCCTGCTAAATGCTGCCTCAAAGCCATGTCAGCTCAATACAGCATCGCTACTTACTGTTACTGCTGTATACATAAAATCTATTCTGGTTACTGAGATTGCTTCTTTATATTTGTGTGCACCAGGAGCTGGTCAACCTGTTGCTCTGTGGAAGATCAGTTTCTAATGTCTTTGACAATGACATGGAGTTGGACTCAGGCAATGGCAACATGACTCTACTCAAGGGAATCAAAGGCGACTGTGATGTTGGCCTGCTGTCCCTGTTCGAACATTATAACATCTGTAAGGTGAGTGCTGACTCTCTGGTCACCCGGCCACTGACAGAACAGATACTTGTCAGATTCAAGTGGAAACACAAGACCTCAGGCAGAATTCTTTGTTGTAATTACGGGCACATCTGTACCACTAGCAGCGCAGATGTGCCCATAATCACAGCAAAGAATGTTCTTAAGACTATTATGGGATTTACATGATGGTTAACATAAACTCTGCCTGAAAATGTTTACTCTTAAGTAGTTCAAATGCATGATGAAAGGATAACTGAAGTAAATGTGAAGTCAAATGCTTTCTGGTTATCTCAAGCAGTAGCATAGTAACAAATTAAATTGACCAAGTTTTTTATAGTACTCTTTTCAACAAATAACTTAAGAAATGCAAAATATCTTTCACATTTTCTAGTTTTCTGCACAGCATTAACATACAAAGTAAATAGCAATATATGTACAAAATGTGTTCCAATCAAATGTTACTTTTACACCAAGGAAAACTGTTTGTCTACTTCTAAACATTCAAGAGGCATGAATTACAAATACAATGGCAGAGTTTTGATTTTACTCTTCTCCAAACCTGGTACCAGGAATCTGAAGTTAGTCACTGCTCAAGATTGTGTGCACTTTTTAGCTTGTTCAGAATAATAAAATGAATGATGGCTGAATTCCATTTAGCTACTTCAGTTTCAGGGTCCTGGCATTTGATTAATTACTTTGCTCTGTTGTGTTTTTATTTCTTCTATCTAAGGTAGGAGCTTACCTGAAGACTCCCCGTTACCCCATCTGGGTGATGTGTAGTGAAAGCCACTTCAGTGTGCTGTTTGGCCTGCAGAGGGAGCTGTTGACCAATCAGGACAAAGGTCTGGAGTTTGACCTCTACTATTATGACGGACTGGCCAATCAACAGGAGGAGATCCGCCTCACTGTCTGTATGTAGCATCACGTCCCACATTCTCAGTGCACTTTAGTCCTTTCTTTTCATAATTATTATGTCTCTTATAAACCATTCTCTCCAGTAAATAGCCACTCAGAGATGTACATTAGGGTATCATTTCTGTGATTATAATGTGATGTAGTGTGTGTTAGTTATTTTGCTGTTGCACTAATTGTAAGTATGCCTAAACTGAAAATGTTCATTAAGCGTTTGTATTTTTAGCTGTCGGCAAATCGGCCCCGGCCTGTCAGGATGACGACACTGATCTCATTCCTCCACTGGAGCACTGTATCCGAACAAGGTAAGGATCTTTTGCCGTTTCAAACTCACAAGCCCACATGCGCAGTAATGTCTGGAGATCCTATAAACAACCATAAAACGTTTTGATCTTTATTGCCCTTTATCAAGGAGTCTTCAAATTCCATGCATACTCTAAAGCAGGTGTCTCCCTTTTGAGAGTGAGGGCTACCTAAAAGGAGAAAAATACTTGCCGAACATCCATGTTGAATTGCGCTGTGTATTTTCACCTTTCATACACACGGTTGAACCAATTTGATTCGGATATGGAATTGCAAGTGTGAAGTAATTTTTTCTCTGGTTGTATTAATGCTGAAGCATCCTATGAGAAAGCTACTGATATGAACTGAGAGTCAGTTTACACAGCTCGCTTTATCAAGGTAAAACAATTATTTGATAGATCATATAAATCTAAAAGTGCAACTCAAAGAAAGTCAGCAAGGGCTTATTAGGCCACCATTTTAGACACAGATGAACGCCAAATGCAGAAGGGCAGAGCAAGGAAGCGTGGTTTCAGCATGTAATAAAGGCTCATCTCAATATACTTTTTTAAATTACTAAAACCATTTAAATCAGGAAAGACTTTATCTTTAATTAATATATTTAATTGACGTGCACAATAAAGATGAGAAATGTGAAACTTAGTCGGCGATTAGACCCCATCGTGACATCATTGTGTTTGAAGGGGTAGGTGAAGCCATAATTAGTAAAGGAAACCCCCCTAGATGGAGCCAAGAAACTGGTGGTGGTAATGAAAGGGATGAAGAGAATGCTGGAGGACTGAATGTGATGAGGAGGGGCTTCACATGAGCTTAACCTGCGCACAGGATGAAACCCCTTTAATTACAGAACAAGCTCTGTGGGTACCTCACTGGCCATGTTGAGATGCCTGCTTTAAAGACAGCTATTTGTTGTACAAGATCATGTAGTATGTACCTGGATCAGCTGTAAATGCCTGTGTTTTTTCTTTTTTTTTTTCAGGTGGAAAGATGCATTTGTCAATTGGAATGACACAGAGCCCATTCTCTGACCGATCACATGGTTTGATGTTATTTAAAGTTCCAGTGTTTAGGATTTAGTAGTGTCTAGCAGTGTAGTTGTAGATTACAGGCATAAAGGAGAAACTACGGTGGCTGCACAATTTTATTTATTTCCAGGTGATTATACACTAACGAAAACATCTGAATTTAATATTCTCCCAATAGATCCTCCTAAATGATACACACTGGGTCTTTAAATCAGGGGAAGCACTATTAACTGACAATAAACATTTTGCATCACCAATACAGATATTTTTACACAGGTTTTCCTCCTATGACATTAGGTTTTCGGAGTATTCATCCATATATTTTAGCATTACTGTTGTTTTCTTGACATGATGGCCTGGATATTATGTGTCACACAATGTATGTGTAGCCGGAAGGGTTTGGAATATGGCATATCATGATATTTGAGAGCATGTAATTACTGTCTTTTTTGAAAGGTTTAGCAATAATCATGAAGTAACTTTTTCTTACAATGTACAAGTTTTCAGGATGTCTAATAGGCTACTTTTGTTGCTGGTAAAAAGTTGATTACTGCAAGATACACTATTGACCACAGTGGCCTTTCACTTTTCACTCTGTACTTTTTACATAAACATATTATATGTTATGTAATAACAAGCTGATGTCCATATTTTACACTAAATCATTATGATTTTCCTGCTTATTAGAAATGAAATGAATATGTGTTATTTTAATCAGGAAATCTTGGTTTTGAAATAGCCAAAAATCCAATTGCCTTTTATTACATGTGCACACTTTAAATGAGATAATAGGTGGTACTGTTTTGGTTTCATTGCTTCAGTTATAATTCTGATGTGTAAAGAGATTAGATACAATAAACACAGAGTGTGTGTGTGTGTGTGTGTGTGTGTGTGTGTGTGTGTGTGTGAGAGAGAGAGAGGGAGAGAGAGAGAGAAAGAGAGAGGATATTATACAAATGAATTTTCACTTTTGAAACCTCTCACAAGGAGCAGAAATTAAACTCATTCAATACCTCGACTTCTGTCTCCACATAGTGTTTGTTTTGTGTCTTTTTTTCCTGAAGCTGCCTTTAACTGCTAACCAAATACAAAAATTACTACAAAACTATTATGTCACTTACATATAGTTTTACTGTATATTGAGAAAAGATTGTGAAGTCAGTAGTGCATACTCTGCCAAAGCTTTTATTGCTCTGCAACCATTTTGTTAGTAAAAACTAAAACTATATAAAAGGAAAATAATCCTCAAATGAATGCAACTTGTAGAAAACAATGTGTTCTTCTATACTGACATTACAGATGACTTGATCCATGAAGAAGATGCAGCTTGTGTAAGTTAAGATCAGCTGTGAATTATGTAATGATTAATAGGAACAATATATAAATGACTAAAACAGTGCTTGGTGGTACATATGTACACTTTAATAAAAATTCTTTATTTATCTGCTTTTGAGGCATTTATTTTTATCATTTGATAAATTAACATTTACGTATCTTCCAAATAAAGAAAACACTCAAAGCTAATTGTGAATTAACTCTTACGTATGTCACATGTTGGGGTGAGAAAAAAACAGATTCAGCTGAAAGATGCCTTGCAGTTAATCAGTGAGTTTAGTATTAGCCATGGCAAGCGTCAGAGCGCACACAGTGAGGGGCATGCAGAGGGGGTGGCAGGGAGAGACCTGTGCCAACACCTCCAGCACATGGGATCAAAGACACAGCAGCTGGCGCACAGACAGAGCTGCAGCAACTCACTTCCCATCAAACTATCTTGTGCAATGTGGACCAGAGTCCATACAATATCTTGGAAGTGCAATCTAGGGTTCAAAGCATCCAAACCATCCTGGCAACAACACACAATGGAGCAATAACATCGTCTTTCTTTATTAAATCTGTCAAAGTCAATCATATCCATGATATTTCTATCTTGGTGCGATGCAAATGCTGGAGAGGAGCTTGCTGTGATGATGACAATGGATTCATCTTTTATCTGTCAAATTCCTAATGGAAGCTGTATTATGTGAATGTATATTATTGGTGACTCATGTAGGGATTTATGCATTCTTCAAAGGACATAGCAAGAGCCATGAATTAATCATGAGACATGGAGTGAATCAATGAACCCTCTACAACAGTTTTACAGCCATCAAGGCTACTGCGATCACTATAAATAAGGTGGTTTGCTTCAATGAGGCCTTGGGGTCTCAGAAATTGGATTAAAGTGTTTACTTTTGCCACAAAATTCGTCTGCGGATGGAGGGGGGGGGGTTGATAAACGTCATAAGGAGCCATGTTTAGGTTTTAGGTTATATGCTATTCATAATCCTCGCTGAATAGTTGGCGCATGAAACATTTTAGTTATTAGTTAGTGCCAAAGGGCTACTCAAATAACAAATGTGTGTACAATTTCGATTAAAGACAAAAAATGGGACAATCCATTTACTTGGTGAGCTGGTATCAACTCTGGGTTTAACTTAAAAGGTCTCCTATAAGACTGGTGCTACTGTCAGTCCAAATCACATCCTACTTGTACAGAATAAAGGATTTAAAAAAGAGCTAATCTGTAACTATCTGTTTCAAACGACACAACAGTGCAGCTGGAGGTGACTCGCAGTTAAAACAATTTGGGGTTTCTTTTCTCTGTCACCGAGCTTTGGTGCATCAGGGTGCAGTCTGACAGGAAGGAAATGGCTTTGGTCTCTATTTACTATTTATCGCACCAGCATTTCTCAGAGGTATCAGAGGAGGGATTTGGTGCTTGTGTGTAATTGTGTTAGAGCCCTCCCACATGCTGTCCCCAGTGCATCTTCTGTCTCCTCTCCTAATCTGTGCTGTTTGTCTCCAGATAAGTGATATCCTCTTCAGATTAGGATCTGGTGTCCGTGCCCTGCCCACCCGGAGGGGAAAGGGATCCCCAGTGCGTCCCCATGAGGTGCAAGTCGTATTTTTAGCTGTCTAATCCTTTTATAGCTCGAGCAGAAAACATCACCCCTTTCCATTAATTGTCCCAGGTAATCATGATACAATATGCCAGAGAAGAAGTCAGTTTTGAGAATATTCAGGAATTTGATGGAGCACACATTTCTAAGATGTGATTTGGGGAAGAGAGGCAATCGTCCATTTTATGGCCCTTCAGAACAAGACCATCTCATGTCAAGCTGGTAACATGTTGCATGGGCTGAGATCACAATCGCTGATAGGATCTGTACATCCACAGAAAACACATTCTTTCAATGCAATTTCAGTTCACAACCTCTTGAACTGACAGCTTCCGTGGATGATTTTTTAATGATATTGCAACAAGCCAAACTTTGTTGAATAATGCATGATCCAATGTAACAAACGTTCCCACTGAGTCTGTAGAGACATGCTGGCGTGAGAACTGAGCTGTTGTAATCTTTGGCTTAGCGTATGTTTTCTTCAGAACCTGGTCTATCAGTGTCCCTGTGTGTGTGCGTGGTTCAATATTTATTTCACTACCCCAATAAAAAACAGCAGACAATCACTAACTATTCCCCAGGCAGACGCCTCAGTACAAGATGACACAACACAACAAGAAGAAGAATGCTGCATCCTGTTTGTTTTGTCAGGACTTTATAGTGTTACTGTAAGGGTAGGTAATTTAAACCTCCTTGAGAAATACACAATTCAAGAAGAGTTTTATTAAATGGGAGCTCTGAAGTCTGTGTATGTCCCATTAGAAAGTCACTGTAAAGGAAATGACAGCTTTGCTTGTTTTAATTCTCAGTGTTTGCTGTTTTCTTTTACAAAGCCTAAAAGGCAAAAAAAAAAAAAGGATCTTCAGAGAGAAAAAAAAGACACTTTTCTTGTCTGGCACGAAAACAAGTAAAGTTGGACGTTATGTTCGGTGTGCTTCAGATTTCAGCCAGTTTACTCATACATGTAACAAGTGGGCTGAGGCTCCAGGTCTATAATAGCAGGCACACTTCATTCATTAGGATTATGATCGGGAAAGAGTTTGCTTGAAACAGTCATGCTTTCTAAACTGCATTTATCAACTGTCAAAGCAATTTGCCAAGCGTTCCAAAAGGCAAAATGATGCTCTCAAGAAGCAAATAAAACTAAGATTATCCACTTCCACTCAAATATAGCCACGCAATTAAGATAATCTCCATAGAAAACTGCAAACATTAAAATGCCTTGCACATGTGATTACTTAGTTTGCTAAGCTTTTGCTGGTCTTATCCAAAGTATATTTGGGTCTGTTGAGCTTGAATTGCTCAACATCCTGTTGAGTCCAAGAGTCCAAGATGTCTGACAGCTATGATTGAGTGTGTGATTGCCAGAGACAAACACAAGAACCTGCCAGCAATTTTGCAACAAACTTCAGTTAAAGGAGGGAATTCTGTAATGGTAACACCTGCTCAGGGACAGAGCAGACTGCATCAGTGAGGTGCGGAAAAATGAAAGAGAAATGTTCGAGCCAGGAAAATAAAAAAGTATTCCCGCTGCAGCAAGTTTGTAATGAAATCCAGTTTTGCTCAGTGCTTTTTTCAAATTTAAATGATACTGAGCAGAGAAAAAGTCTTGGGCAAATGTGTCGTCACTAAAAGACCTCACGCATTTTTTCAATAATAAGCAGTCCACTCCCTTGAGTTCCATTTGCAGTCACACCCATCACGCTGTCTGCCTCCACAGGGCTGATCCCTCATTCCCCTCATCTCCAATAATATCAGAATATGCTGTGCTTCAATATTCTTTATTGTTCAATACTGCAGTGCATTATCACCACCGTTGTTGTTCTCACTGTCAGCAATCACTCAAGTGCCAAATAAAACGTAATGAAGATGGAGCATGACAAATCTTTCAGACCAATAGTGGAAGAGGAATTCATATATAAGGAGAAGAAGAAAAAAAAAAAGAGGAAAAGCTTCCTCTCCATCAGATATAACTTTTATATAACCGAAATAATTAGATTTTTGGAATGATTGTGAAATTATTATATACATACCATTTCAATAAATAGGTGTATTTAATATTAAATTAATGTTTCCTTACAAATATATGGTACAGACAGGTAAATAAAAGCAAATCCATTCAACAACAACCAATAATGTCCATCAGCATTTTCAGTAATGACAACAAGAACAACAAAAATAGAAACACAATAAACACAACAATGTTCACATGACTGCTGTGAATTTGAAGGCACTTCCTTGGCAACATGTTGACCATTGATCCCTCTTCCATTATTTTGGGACCTGGAATAAATGGGGAAAAAAAGCTTGATTAGAGTTAAACATCTTCAGTTTCTGCTTTAAAGCTTTATTTTAGAGAAAAAGTATTCCGTCCAGTATTGGCAAGGACAAATGTTGACATCCCGACCTTTCTAAGGAAGTCGTGTTGTTAGCTTTTAAAGAGGGTCATTACTGCCCTACCATTACTGGCATTCCTCTATGTTATGTCTAAGCTCAATCAGAAATGACCAGGATGACTAAATAATGAATCACTTAATACGCCTTCTAAAGTCCTTCGATTGTGACATATACATTTGTCAGATTTCTTAGAACAGTGCAGACAGGATCTTATTATCTGATTCACTTGCGAAACTGAATACCTTAGGATGTGTCAGCCTCTTCAATTTTTGAATCACCAGAAGTCCTATACCACGAAAAAACTCAAATTAACTGAAATGACCACTTGTGTAGATGAACTCTCACTGCAATCACTCACCAGCTAGATCTAATTGCTAATTCGCTGAGAGCACATGCTTTTACTCATGTTGGATTTAGGATCGGCAGTGAACGCATCAGACCTGCTGTCATCGAAGATCACTTTAACAAAGGGAGGACTATGACTACGTCCAAAATGACTCCAATGACGGCAGTCTGAGTCCTTCCTTTGTCTCGATAATGGCTATGTTTAGTGTTTAAGGTTAGCGTGAGAAGCATGTAGAACTGTTTCTGACAACAAGTTGACCAAAAGATGGCACGGCATCATGAGAGGCTTCTCACTAACAGACATTCCCAGTGCAGTTCAGTGGTACTGGAAAACTCATTTCCAGGTGAGATGTAATCAATCACCCTAGCAGTTCTTTTCAAAACAACAAAGGAGCTTTCACAAATTTACATGCATACAGTGGGTTTAAAGAAATGATTTAACATCAAATGTATCTTTTAATCCATGACCATCTGAGTGATGTAAGAGCCATTTTTACCTTCACACCCATTCAGAAATGACTGTTTAACCAAGAGCTGGCATAATAATAATAATAATAATACATTTTATTTATAAGCGCTTTTCTAAATACTCAAAGACAAAAAATAGTCATCAACAATTTTAATAATTAATTAAAAGTATTTTATATCATTATAAAATGAAAATCTCTCTGTTTTGGGCCCTGGGAAACAGTCATGGAAACTATTTTCAGAGATTTTACTGAAAAAACGATTAATCATGAAAATAATCAACAGATTAATTAATTAATTTGTTGCATCGCTAAGTAGTAATTTTTTCGACTTTTGCAGATACAGTAACTGTTGACCATCACCAGTCACCAATATTTCTCTTTTTCAATGGATGACCAGTAAAAAAAAATCAGCAGTATTTAACTGAGCATACAAAGTATTGTATTGTAATAAAAATGTATGAACAACATACAAATACAAAAAAGTAGTAACACCAAATTCTTTGCTGTATCCTTTTGTTGTTCTTGGGGCAGGAGACACTGGGTCTAGAGCTGTATCACATGTTCATTTGCTCAACAATATGAATTCAATGTTTTAATAAAGTACATCATTCTCCTACTTGTGATGAAATAGATTTGTGTGCAACTTCAGCCAACCAGCACCAACTTTAAATAACTGTTAAATTAAGATTAAATACATAAGAGCCTCTTCTGACAGGAATGTGTTACAATGTGTCCAACACCAAGAAATAGAATATTCGTAAAGCATACAAATGTTAAACAGATGCACTACAGATATGTTTCTGATTATGTGAGCATCAGTTTTCTTCAGCTTCAAATCAGACACATTGGAATAAATCTGACCACAAGCAACAAAGAAATGCCTTCATGTCACGCTGAGAGATATAAAATTGTACACACACAATTAATATATCTTAATTGAAAAAACTTTACTTTGACATATCAGAGGTTGTTGACAAAGAATCAGAGAAAAACACTTACTTACATGCAGTATCTATGATTGCATGCAGAGTGGACTCATTGCTAGTCGTGTTAGCAATCTTGCACATCTTTTGTAATCTGAAAAAAACAGTGGGAAAAAGGACATGAATATGTTAGCAAAATACCCTCCTTGTAATTAAAGCCCCAACACATAATTTGCCTCCCAAAATAGCTGGATTCTTGAACACTGGAGTCAAATGATTGTAATAAAGTTTCAAATTCTGCTATAAATTAATACAAGTCAAGTATTTTTGACTTTGATGTTTAAAAAATAATGCAAATGTCCCCGTGTTTTCAAAATACTAATGTGCTGCCTGTCCTTTAATAACACAGTGTGTCCTAGTACTCAATACATAGCAGTATCAATCACAGTGAGATGGACAAAAATATTCATACCAATGAAAAAGACACTAGAGGTGGCACTGACGTCAAAAGTGTTGCAATAATTCCTGACCAAGCATTTAAAGTTGCAATGTTTCTTTAACAGAGCGGCTCCGATGTAAAGTACACAATCGCTCAGGTTTTCTAATAACATCATCAGTAACATTAGCATGAGAGATGAACCATAAATGTTGCAGCCAACAATACTTGCGTCATCCCAATACAACAGAGACAAATGAATCCGGATTGTGGCCCGGTTGCCATCTGTAATTGTCCACCATGTCCCCCTGTTTGGCTTGAACTAAAATACTGCATATCACAACACGTCATTTATTCATTGCTTAAAGTCTGACTTGATGTTGTCTTGACTGCATCACAGATGAAAAGGCAGCATAAAAAGAGGGGCTTCTTTCTCTTATAAACTCTGTTTCTTATTCACAATAAAGGAAAGTCGAGCTGAACAGATATCCATCTGTGACAGGGGAGCATCGTCTGCAATCATTCTCCAATGTCTGCTTGGCGTCATCTCCTTAATTCCCAAATGTAAACATCCCAGTGGCTCAGCGGTTCCCAACCTGGGGTTCGGGAACCCACCAAGGGGTCACAGGATAAATTGAATGGGTCCCTAGCTGATTAACAAGGTTGGACAAAAGGAAGTAAATGTTCTGCTAGACAAATTATGTTTATTTTTATCTTTGATCTTCTGTTATTAAATACTGGATAATTTTACATCTACATGATCCTAGAAACTATTCAGACTAAACAATCTGAGAAGGGAACATCGTTCTCTGGTTGAACTGCTTGTAAATCACAGAAATATGCAACCCGTTACAAGACCAAGAGATCAGAGATAGCTTTGCTTTGAGGGGTCATGAACCAAAATGGTTGGGAACCACCGCTCTACACACAATTTGGTCATAGATCAAGATCCATTTAAAGGAAATACTCATAAAGTTTTCAGCTTGTCAAATCCTGACCCTGTTCACATTCACTGGAAATTCAATACATTTTAGTATAGAACATTAATCTACAAATGAAAATGATTTTTTCATGATTGAAGGTTACATTAAAAAATGTAGTAGTCATGACTAAATATGCAACAATCAAAGTTAAAGTTTGGAGAACAAACATCTTAACTGATTATTTATTAGTTTAGCACTCAGCTAATCTGCTTCATCAGGACTGTTTGGGTGTGGTTTGATCAGATTTGATTGACAATGGCAAACAGCCCATCAACTGTTGCTGGAATTTGATTATAGATTTTGCTGATTGGTGCATGGAAGTATGTGACATTAATGCCCCTACTACTTAAACCCAGTAAGAAGAGCCCAAATAAACAAAATTAAATATAGCACAAACAGAAATCTCTAAATTGAAATGACCAAAACTGTGGCAAATGTTTTTTGTTCTTGGTGGAACAAATCACTCAAGATGCTGATTGAAAACATGAATTTCAAGGACTAGAGGGGGAAAAGGCATACATACATGCTGGTCTTGAGCAATCCCTTGTGTTGTGATAAAGTCTATGAAAGTGTGTTCTGCACTCCGACGAGAACTTGACTGGTCCTGCTTAATGGAAAAGGTCTTGTCAGGCAGGCAAAATTAAAACGTTTTCAAGCGCATCATTATTTCATCTTTATCCAATTAGCTAGTATCACCATGTCTAAGATAATTGTGAGTAAACAATAGAAATAAACAGACAAATTACAAGTGAAAGTGAAGAGAGTACCATCACAGATATCAATTAATCATTTATCAATGACCACACGACTGAGGTCGGTGGAATTTTCTTTCAGTGCAGCAGTGTAGGTAAGCTCAACAGTGTCAGTAATATCAAACATAGACAGGTATGAGCATCATATTAGACACAATGACAATATTCACAGATTACCACAGGACACAATAATTTTTTCAAAGATTGCTACAGGAGTTTTAGGTGCAGATACATCTGTCAAAGTTAGTGATCAGAGGCTTTATTGCAGCTGGAAAAAAAGTTTTTTTCAAAGTGGATGATTTCGTGGGCAGGGAGGGACCTATAGCGCCCCTCAGAGGGCGTCAGCCGGAACAAGGTGAGAGGGGTCAGAGATGGGTTTTCTTTGCTCTTTTGATTGTGTGTTTGTGATATAATGGTTCAACTATGGGAGCAGTGTGCCAATAATCTAGGATAATTTTTATAACTATGCGCTGCAGTTTTTGCACGTGTGACTGTTTGTGCTGCTAAACTGTTATTGATAAGGTGAGTACGCTCTAAATGATGGTTGTGTAAGACCAAAGGAAGAGACGTCCTTTTAGTTTTAATTTTTTTTTTATCTGCCTTAAGAAAAAGTCTTTGCTGGGCTTACATTGTTAAGAAGTTAGGGTTCAACTGGACTTAGTGAACAGAGGAATTGAGTCCTCAATTATAATCTCCTCTAAGAGTTTCTGCACCAACATTTAAACTTCCAGATTTTCACACCAATAATGAAGTGTACTCATAGGTCCTGAGACAAATAATCAGCTTAACCTTGCACTGCCTTCAACTTAATTCTGTCGGCTTCAGACCATGTGCTATTTCTCTGCACTATTGCCCTACAGCTAAGCCAGGCAACCCTCTTCTGACCCACAGCAGTGCCAGTGTTCACAAATCTTTCTATGATTTAAGCATACTGTATGTTGGTTGGCTTACAGGAACGAAAATGATTTTCTCAAAGGGGAAGAAGAAAAGATTTCAGGCCAAAAGTTGCAAGGGAAAAGTGCCAGCTATGCTCTGCCAGATAAAATAGTTTTGCAATCTCTGGAAGAGACAACAGTGAGTGCAATTGCACTCATGGCAATTTTCTTACCTGTGAAATGCTGAATAAATTTGCCTTTCATGTTTACATCTCTAGGAACAATTTCTGCAGCAAAAAAAACAACAAAAAACACTGTTAGCTTGTCAATCAACAGTCATTTCAACTGAGCACTTGCCAAAAGTTACAAAGTAATCATGATGAATATGTTACTGTCAGATTCATCCTCCCCTGCATCTATCATTGTAATACCGCAAATGTCTCAGGATCACCCCTTTAAGGTATAAATACCGTTCAATTCAACATGAGGCAAATCATATTATTCATGATTATTTTTTATTTTATTTTACTCATATAAAGCTAGTTTCTTACTACAGTATAAAATAAATAACATTATGTACTCCAAAATCTGTTCAGTAGTAGTGCAACAAATGTAGTATTTCTGTGATGAATCTATACTTTTACGTAATTCTCTATAGAGATCTGTTTTAAGTAGGGGCATTTCATAAGGTCTAGATGGTTTCTCAAGTAACCCCCTTTCTACTCAATGTCCATGCAGTCAATACATGTAGGTGTCTGATAACACATTGGCCACGCTAACAGGCTAAAGAGATTATTGTATTGGAGTTTAATGCTCATCAGAATAAGTCCATGCTAGTAGTTACTGGGCTAACATCACATTAGCCCCCAGACCCAGGAACATGTAATGCTGTAACTGCAGCAGGAGGATGAAAGATGACAATTTAGCTAATTGGAAAGCCAGCAGATATACAGTAAGTAAAAAAAAAATAAAACACCTTGTGCATTTTTGTTAATAGGATAAACGCACCTACAGTATATATTTTAGTATTCTAGAAAGAGTTATGGACTTGTAAGAGCCCACTGTGCCATCAAGCCAAAACCCAGATGTGAAGAGTGAAAATGGCACCCGGGGTGTGTGTACTGTATTTCCTGGGGATTAATAAATGCATGTCAACAAGAATAAAATACAAAAGTCTAAAGGTGCCAGTCTAAAGACAATTTCTTGTGCCACGCATATGAAAAAATCAGATAATCCCAGTTGTAAAAATAAAAGTGTTCCCTAGTATTATATCTTTCTTAGCATAGCTGTCACTCTGATGACAGCCATGGCTTTTGAGGAATATACAGAGACAACTACTATAGGGTAAACACATCATCACACACATGTTTCTTCTTCCTCCTCATTGTGTTCAAAACATCTATCCTTGCGTGACCATGGATCTTTGGTAGCGTCACACGCACCAGTTGCTAATATGCTGCCTTTAATATCCTCAAAAGATAAATTCCATCCAGTCAGTGGTCTGAGAAAGGTACTTTTCCAATTGCATAAGCTGGGGCCAAGACTTTGAGCTTTACAATGTCTGTGCAACGTCTCTAAAACATGATCTAATTGATAGTGATGGAAGGGAGAATCTGAAATTGCAGATAAACAACACACCATGTTCACTTGGCACTTAGTTAACTCCCACTGCACATACCAGGGAGGCACAGTCCTAGATTGCACTACAAGTTAACTTTTGCCTATTGCAGAAATAAAATCAGTTACTGTATATAAAAGGATTTTCTGGGTACCTTTTCTTTATTACAGTCTGACTTGGGAAAACCTTCTGTCTTGGATCTCAGATAATTGAAGAGATATGTATCAAAGATTAACTTAAATGGCTTAATTCCAGTCTGGACATAATGCTTTATTTAAGCCAATAAAGGCAGAGCTGCAGCAAGCACATTCTCACTTGTGAGAGACCTCAGATAGAGCCCAACACCCGTTTAGTTCAGGAGAAATGAACAAGGATCAGTTCAAGAGAAAATAATTTTGAAAGCCAATTTGTTTAGGTAAGATTTAGAAGCTGAAATCTATACGGATAAATGAAGCGCAGCCTTCGACTCCTCACATAGTCCCCTTGTTGCATAATTACAGCCACATTACATACATTAATTAATGTGACACAACACAGCCAATGTCGTTTCTCTGCTCTGTTTGATGTGTCTTGCGGAGATGCTGACGATTGGAGATGCTTTCTGGAACCGCCGTAGTGTGTTTGTGTACGTGAGGGGTGGTCATCATTCATGTTTAAGATTCCACAATGAATCATACTGAATGAATCATTCACAAGTTTGCCATGGCGATGCTCCTCCTACATGAATCCATAGTACCTATACACATCTCCATTCATCAGTCAATCACGGTTTGAATGAGGGAGCGATACTGTTTCTCCAAGACATGTTGTGAAGAGGTATCTCTTATAAATAAGAACAGCAAGTTTGATAAATGTGAGATAACCCAGATGAAGCATACCTGGTTCACATGCATTATATAACTATTGTAAACTGAGTTGGACTTTTAAGGACAGGAGGATGTGGACACTGTATCTTGTTTAACATATATGAACAGGCAAACCCAATTTTCCTTTCTTGAATTAACATGCATACACCAACTTCCATTCAGGCTCCTAAATAAGGTGTACAGCACAGACCAGACCAATGATAGCTGCCTCCGACGGTAAAATGGGGATTATGCTTTCATCATCAGGACCTAAAAATAAATCTTATCAGCTTACCTATGAGTCTACTGTTATCCAGCCTAGGAGCATAGAAAGGCTTTTCACGGGAGGAGAACTTCATGTCTTGGGCTGAAGTGAAGAGTCCACTGCTACAGCGCCTGGAGACGGCTTTCTCCTGTCGTTGGCTATCTCTGATAACCTGTAAGATTAGATCCAACAGGGTCCTTCTTTCTTTCTGCTTGACATCCTTGCTGTCCATACACTGGCCCGAGGTGATGAGCAGAAAGAAGATAGTCAACAGTATGTGCCATTTCCTCTCCACCTGCATGACTTCACTGTCTGAAAAACATGAGCAAATAAGTTCTGTTACACAGGGGTTACATTGTTTCTACTGAGTCATTCAATTGTTTTAAGTATTCTGACAACCGAAGGGATAGCTGTGCACTCTGCATCAAGCTTCACCCCAACAGATGTATGAGCACTGTTTGCCATTTGAGATCCTTCACATTCACGAAATTACACACACACACACACACACACACACACAACACACAACAACAACAACAACAACAACAACAAAAAATCCATGTCAGAAGTAACATGCATAGCCTCTAAAAGTAGAATTAATCGCCAGAAATGTTCTGGTCCAATCCACTTTACGCAGCAGTCGCATTTCTTCTAGTTTAGTACAAAGGTAAAACAAATGTAGTCGACCGAACTTTACACTTACTCGTTTAGGAGTTAAAGATGCTTATGTCCTGGAGAGTGGACACAGTTGTCTTCAGCAAATTCTTCCAGGCGTTGTCTGTGGTCCCGACAGGAGAGAGAGAGAGAACAGCCAGTAGATTGTGCTCACCACCGTCTTTCTTGAAATAATGCGTCCCTATTTATACGAGGAGCCACCTTCTTGAAGGTAATACAATCGATTTCGAGTGGGTGGTAAAGCAATGTTGACATCTTGGGTGCAATTTCTTCCAGTGGCATTCGCTCACTTTGGCATGCGCCCCTCCTTTACGCACCAAAGCATCTCTAGTTTTAGTTTTACAGGACTACTCAACTCCAAATAGAAAAGACCCTTTCCAGACCGAGTAATGGTTTTAACATCCAAAGGGAGCTCCACTTACATTCCCAATAAAAAAACGAACGACAAAGAGTGTGGCACGGCAGCGCGCAAGAAAGTAGTTTTCCAAATGGACCAACTTGGTGGATGTTGGATGCAGAGAAGAGAAGAATCTGTGGGCCTGTAAGCTTCTAGCTGACCTGTCAGTGTGTCGATGTTTTTGTTCACCGATGTCCAAGTCTTGTGACCGCCTAAGCGCTGCAGAGAATGCGCCTCCAGGAGCAGCCATCCGGCTGTTTTCCACCCTTACTTGATAGAAATCTATAATTGAGAGAGAGCTTTAAAGAATTGTGAAATTCGAGGGGACATAAATGGTAGAAAAATGCATTTGAAAGTGAGCCCACAGAGTTATGGACTGCTGGCTCAGCTGTCTGAATTATAAATCCTCCCTTTAAAGACAATCTCGCTGTAGTTTCAAGCCCAATGTAAACGAGTGTAATAATAGTTCGTTAATATGAAGTGTGCAGATTGGTTCTTATTTTCAGCTGTCATTTATAGTGAACATTTTTAATTAGGCTACAGCCTCTTAATATGTGCGGACATGTAATCTGGCACTGGCAGCTATACAACGCATTTGCACTTTGCATGAATCCCTTTACACTATACAATATTTTTGACAAAAAACGCATCAACAGACTTCATAAGTGTCTGTGAATCCATAAAAAGGACGTCATCTAGTGGTGTCTCACTTGTTGCGCAAATAGTAGATGTGGTTCAAAGAAGCTGTAGGCCTATAAATACCTAAAGTGCACATTATTACGTCCATTACCGGTTAATTTATTTTAAACCCCAAAAGCTTATAGCCTAATCAAAATAATATGAATACAATTATTATTATTATTATTATTATTATTATTATTATTATTATTATGTGAATTAACTGTCACACTGTCACTCTCCACCATGATTTCCACTGATTAAAAGGTGATTTCGAAATAGGTGCGTTACTTCCGGAATGACTGTTACTATGGAGACGGGCCAAGCACTATGGCAACTTGAGAAAGCTGACCCCGTGTTTGTTACACCATAGCTAACGTTACTTCAGTTTGTCACTATACAACGTGTCTGTTTCTTTGATAAGAAACATTTAAAACATTATTTTTCTCTCTCTCTGGAGGCAGGAACATGTCGCAAAGGTAAACTTCCCAGCAGCCACCGCCGTTATTTGTGTATTGTCAGCGGCCACCGTAGTTTAACGTTAATTTAACTTTAGCTAACTAGTTAGCTCGCCGTGCTGTGCGTACAACGCAGAAATATAATTAACTTATAATACTTTGTCTTGTAACTCTGGTAACAAATGTAAAAGTTAAGCACTCAATAACACGACATAAAGCAATGTTAACAATAAAATAAGCTATTTGAAAGTCTGTTCTTCCAGACCTGGTTCATGGCAGCAGGGTGGCAGCAGTGACAATATGGAAACAATGACACTGCTACTGAGTACATGGCTCTCCAGTAATTGTTAGCAAATGAGACTCCTGCTGGCTAAACTGTTGTGACTGGTGGATGAGCAGTTCTGGTCTTGCTGCCCTTTAAATTTCTAGCTTTGCTACTCTTAACTTACAGCCTTTTATCGAAACACCACAAGAATACCACAAAAGACACTAAAAGGGGAAAAAAACAAAAACATATCTTCTTTTTTTCTTGTGTTTGATTATTTTTCTCTGAATAAGGTATGACTCATCTACCATTGATTAAGGTACAGTTTTCCCAGCCTGGCCCCTCAGCTTATCATTGTTGTTTACACTGTTCCAGGACATACAGCCAGCAGTGGGCAGATGTCCATTTACAGTTGAGCCGTCTGCTAACTGAGGAACTGCCTGCCGAGCCCCCTCGCCCAGAAAAGGACAGGGTAGTGTTCTTCCAGCGCCTGGCCATGTTTTATGTGCACTACATCCAAATCTTCAGACAGCTGGAGAAGATCTATGACCAGGTGGTCCACCCTCAGAAGAGACGAGTTATCCGGGCAGTTCTTGATGGTGTGATAGGGAGGGTGTTAGAGCTGAAGAATGAAATGGTGGAAAAAGAGTTTTCAGAGTACCACTACATGGATGACGTCCTTCACGACCTTAAGCTTACACCGGTGAGTTTATCAGAGCAAGTATAATGTAAATTACCTGAACAAAATTATTTACTTATTCACAGCAGGCAATGGATGTATCAGGGATGACAATTCAATAATGACAAAACTCAACAGATATTTTCTTTCTAAAAAAGAGTGAAAAAACTATTTCCCAAATAGGGGATTAATAAAGTACATATCTATCTATCTATCTATCTATCTATCTATCTATCTATCTATCTATTTATCTATCTATCTATCTATCTATCTATCTAGGCAGATCTTGAGATCCCTCTCCCTCGTTATTTCTTCATTGATTGCAGCAAAGAGCTACTAGAACGAAAGATGATGCTGACAGACATCCTGAAAATGGTGGAGGTTACTGAAAGTCCAGAAGTGAGTTTGAAAGTAGCCCCATCTTACTTTAAGCCTACGTGTGCAGACATTTTATGACCTCATTTGTTCATTTCAATTATAATTTCATTTTGTAACATTCAGAAACTTATCAGGATAAATATTTAACATATTTATATATTTAAAAAGAAAATCTTAAATCTATTGTCTACTTCTTTTTCTGGTTCCTACAGCCTCTAATGGCCAAGGACATGAGTCAAGAGGAGGCCATTAAGATGATTCAAGTGGTGGAGAGGGCCCGCCAAGGACGCCTGAGGGCAAAGTTGAATGAAGAGAACAGAAATATGAACAGGATGTATAGGACCAAGGACCCTGGAACAGCTGGTATTGAGTTGGCTGCGGTCTGCATTCAGAAGGTCCTTGTTATCACTATAATCCTCATGACTCTTTCTTTGCCTCTTTTTTCTGCTTGAGTCGTCTTTTATGCTGAAAGATTTGGTTGAATGTGACATGTAGGTGTGGAGGGGCTACATACAGAGGAAGATGGCAAAGATTGCTCGGGATGAAGAAATGATTTTTCTGGGAATGGTGAGTAGAATTGGCCTTCAATTGTCTTGAACTGTAAAAATGAATCCAAAACATTTTACAAAACTACTCGTACAATGAAACCAACCTAATGTATACTTTAAGACCTTATGGCATCCTTTATCTTGCGGAGCAACTATATCATAAGAGGTGTATTGCGCTAATTCATATTAATATACCACTCAAGTGATTTTTTCAGTGTGTAACATTTAGGAGGATCTATTGGCAGAAATGGAATATAATATTCATGGGTTTTTAGTAGTGTATAATCACCTGAAAACAAAATGCTAATACCTTAGAATGAGCCGTTTTTATCTACAGACTCTGCGAGACAGACTCCAAGAACAGACAGACCAAAAACTGTCTTGCATTTTTGTGGCCACCATAGTTTCTCCCTTTCACTTAGAAAGCCTGAAGGTGAAGAACCACCACACCACCAGAAGCCACTAAATCTTTTAAACTTTTCTTTTCCGTCATTGTAATTTCTGCCAACAAATGAAGGAGTGCTGTTTTTTAACATATAAAGTATGTTTGGTCACTCCCATGTTAGGCCATGGATCCAAAATACAAGTTGCCCTGCCCTGCAGAAATCACTGCCGAGGCCAATGATGCTTGCACACGGATTAAACAGGAGGAGTACGGCGAAGACTATCAGAAGTCCGTCGTTGCTATCACAAACCAACTACGGGATGTGGAGGGTCATGACATAAGCAAGACTATGAAAGACCAAATCCGACAGTGGTTCATTGAATGCCGGTAAAGTGGCACAGAGGCGCTTGTCATGATTTTTATTATTTCAGTCGAGCGTGAAATTAATCAAATAGTAATAATGTTTTTTAAATAGTGATGCTACAGGATCGTTCCCAGACTTCCCAGATGAAGAGGATGGAGGCTCAGCTCTTATTTTTGCTGAAAAGGACCCTAAGCAGGTAAAATACACCCTGAGTTTAAAAGTGTGCTTTGTTGAATAATTTTGTAGTAGTTTGCAGAAGGAGATTGGTGTTTGAGTTTTCTCACATTTTTCAGTTGATGGAAGAAATTGCTGCAAAGGAAGAGGAGGAATCCAACAACAAACCAAAAGGGAAGGAAGAGAAGAAGGAAAAGGGAAAAAAGGACAAGGGGAAGGATGATGAGGAAGTAAGGACTCAGCTACATTAAATATGTTTTTATTGATTTAATATAATATTCAGTAGATCTGGTGATATCCGAATCCTCATATCATTTGTCAGTAGCATCACTCGCGCAAAAATGCTGCACCTTCTCTGAATCAATCTGACTTTATTTTGAACCACAGGAAGAGGAGGCAGGGCTGAAGATGCTGCCTTCGGCTTTCCTGTCAGACTTAGAAGTTGGACACAAAACCTTTGTAGGTATGTCTGAACTGAATAAAGTCAAGATATCCAGTGGTCCTCAGTTTGTTTAAAGTGTAGCCCCTCAAATGAATAAAAGTTAACCCTTGTACATTCACAGTCAGTTCAAAATCAGTTTGAGAGTATGTTGTTTAGATTGGATCGTAGTGTAATCACATTCACATAAATAAGTCCTAAATTGAAGGTTTGTCATTCCCAGATTTTTGGCAAACTCGCAATGAGTCCAGAAACTTCAACCAGAGGCACGAGGTAGAGCTGATCAAGGAAGAAAAGAGGAAAGTTATTGAGGCAGAGATTCGAGTACAGGTGATGTTCACGGCAGAATACCAAACATTTTAAAGCATTACATATTTTAAACAGTGGGGTAAGAATTGAACAAACTAACAGAAAATTGGGCTGCTGTAATTTTCTCATTCTCTAGTGTTTAAAACTGACAACAGCCCCACCTGTACTTGCATTCATTAGTCTTTTCTGCTTGTATCAGGTAGATGAGCAGATGAGACAAGAGCTGGCTGAATGGAAGCTAGCTGTGGATAAAGACAAGGGTGGTAAAGCCAAAGGAAATGCCAAGGTAATAAGTGAAAGACAAATAGCAGTCCACACATTGGATATGTCTTGGAGGATTTGGTCACAGTTGACATCATTGACCTTGAGCTGTATCCTGATGGTATTTATTTTACTCTACAGAAAAAGAAAGGATCTAAGAGTGGGAAGAAGAAGAAAAAGGAGAAAGATTTAACATCTGATAGGTGAGGTCAGACAGAGGATGCATGTATGAAGAATATTGTTTCCAGAACAGAAGTGAGTCAATAATTTAGTCAATGCTAATGCTGCAGAAAATGATTTAATCATTTTTTCACATCTACTAGGACTCTTGAGTCTCTGTGTCAGGAGCTGGTGGAACAGGGCTTGTTGAAACAGGCAGGAAATGTTAGGCTGCAGGATTACTTGGGTAAGACTTTATATATTGTTTGTGTTAACTAGTGTGCCATTTTTCAGAACTCTGTGTTCTTATGATTGGGCTTTTAATCTGATTGCACTCAGAACTCTTACAGTTAGCCTTTTTGTAATGTCAAGTTAAGTAGAAACTATTAAGTGGTGATGTGCTGCCCTCTTCTGGTTTGTAATCGCCAAAACATTATGATCACAATGAAAATGTCTTTTTGGCACATTCATTTTTGTGATGAGTTCTTTCTTGCAGTTTTCTGAATGATTGAGTTCGCAGATTAATAACTATTAGTCTAATAGTTGTCCCCTCTTGTTCCTAGGTGACTATAGCTACCTTGGGACCACACTGAGACAAAATGACATTGAGCCTATGCCATCATTGTCAGATGTGCGGCAGGTTTTATCTCTGTATGCAATTTTACCATTAGGTAAGATAGTAATTCAAGTCTATTCATTTATTTACATATCTCAAATAAATGTAACTGAAAATAGTGTTTGTGGTTAGAATATAAAATGTGTGCTGTCTGCAGGCTCTCAGTTGGTACATGAGAAGGCTCCTCTGATAAAGGCCATCCTCCTGGCAGGGCCGGCAGGCGTAGGTAAGAAGATGTTGGTCCATGCAATCTGCCAGGAGACAGGTGCCAGCCTGTTTGATCTGTCTCCTCTAAATACAGCAGGAAAGTACCCAGGCAAGAGTGGCCTGGCCATGATGCTTCACATGGTATTTAAGGTAACACGCTGGTATTTAAACGAATTCTGTGCCATTGCCATTTAAGCATATGATAGTGGGTTTTCTAGTAACTGCTGTCAGCAAATGAGTAATTTATGTCTTTGAAGCTTAAGTGTAAACTTAGTCCAACCTATATGCATATGCTTAACTTCAGTAGAGGTCTTGTCACTAAACACTGTAAGCCAAACAGTAAATATACATGGTATGCATGACAATATGTTGTACCTGTTATTGATTAAGTTTAAAATTTCATGATGAACTTAATAGAACATGAGGAATTGTATTGAAGGGCCTCACGCAGGTATTTAGATTTTGGCTCAGCCAGAAAGTAAAAATGCAGTTCTTCATTACCATCTTCGCACAGGTTGCAAGATTGCTGCAACCTTCAGTAATATGGATTGAAGATGCAGAAAAAATGTTCTACAAGAAAGTTCCCAAGGAAGAAAAAGAGGTATTTCTGAGCAAAATAAAAACTTAACGACATTATTGTGTTGTTTTTAATGTTTCGTTGTTATCGATCTGCATGGCAATTGAATAATTTTTCATGTGTACTCAGTTAGATCCCAAACGCTTGAAAAAAGACTTGCCCAAGTCTCTCAAGCTGATCAAAGGGGAGGATCGTGTCCTGATAATAGGAACAACTAAAGACCCACTAAGTGCTGATATCAAATCACTGTGTAAGATGTACAGCAAAATCATCCTCATCCCGAGGCCTGACTACGGCTCAAGATACAGTAAGTATAGAAACAATTATAGTTTTTAATATCACATATTATTTTTGCTTGTTGGTATTAAAAAATAACCTTTGACTCTGTTTGCATTCAGTCTTGTGGAAGCAGCTGATCAAAAAGCAGGGAGGTGAGGTAACCAGGGCACTAGATCTCAGCTCTCTTGCAAAGATTTCTGATGGCTACACACCAGGTCACATGGTCCGGGTGATCCAGACCGTTGTCACCAAGCGTCGCATCCTACAGCAGACAAACAGGCCGCTGACTGCTGCTGAGTTTGTTGCTCCATTAGCCAAGATTGACCCTGTGTTTCAGGAGGAAGAAGAAGCTCTTAAAGTACGGTGGATATTTCATATTTTGTTTATGTTTTTTTGCTTTTTCATTATTATTTTTTTGTTTTGTTTATACTCCTGTTGTTGATTTTATAATTTTTTTTCTTGTGTATTACCAGAACTGGTATGCAAAGACGCCGCTGGGAAAGAAGAGGATTAAAGCTGCCACAGGCAAGGAAGAAGAAGAGGCACCAGTTAAAGGAAAAGATACAAAGAAGAAAGGGAAAAAATAAATTTGTCATGATGTTTTTATCACAGCTGACTGTAGTTAAATCTGTGAATTGCCTTCTGATGACTGTCCGCTATGAACTAAATAAATTCAATCAAAAGCAGTCATTTTGTTTTTGTTGCTTGTTTTGTTGTTTAGAGCAGAAAACAGAACAGACATGGTAAGCAGTGAAATATTTACATCTCATGTTAGAAATTTGAATACAATATGATGAAAGGTTCTCTGACCTGTTGGTTAAAGCACACAGAAAGCCACAGCTCCCAGACTTCACACAGGACTTTGTACAGTCTGTAAGGGAAGGTGCTAACTGCTGTCTTGTGACCATCATATTAAAATTTCCTTTAAGCAGGTTTTAATTATCATTTTCTCCAAAGAACATAAACATTTAAATTTTTATCACTAATCAAATCTCAGCATTGTTTTCCAATTTTATATTTACTAATATTAAACCTTGTAATACATACCTCTGTATATGATCATGTTTGGAGTTGATCAACTGGATGACTGATCCTTGTTGAAATATTTACCTTAATATGCAGCCAACCAAACTACATATTCCATATGAATATGATCTGAAATACATCCAGTGGTCTGGCTTGGGTACAGAGACTTCTATGGCTATAGTTATCAGACCCAAGGCCACGTTGTAATTAGACATACCAAGACTGTTTCTTTTATTTGCGTCAGTCAAGGGCATCTAAGGTTGTAAGGGTGTTCTACTGTATGGCCATGCCTGAATTCTACATTTGGGAAAATAACACATTATGGTGTTAGACAGAACACCTGGATGAAATGGTCTTTTATGTCACTAGGCTCATGATCAGATGACTACTGTTGTAATCATAATGTAATATATATGTTGAACATCTCTATATTCCCCTATTATGACCACTGTCAGGTGTAGAGAGTCTGGACCAGAGGAAATGTGACACACAGGAGGGGGGACTGTTTCCAAACAAGGATCCAGAGGCTTAGGTGGAGTGTTCAGCTGTTTTGTCAAGTTCTAAATTCACTCAACACATCCTCACATTGCCTTGGTTCCTTTAACATTACTCTATTTTTAACCGTCGTGCGCCATTGAGAGGATGCTACACACATGAAGGTCCACATTTTAAGACTGTTGTCTTCACTGTGGCGGGACATGATTTGTGGCCTTTTCACACATAAATCTTCAAGCAATTTGACGTCCTGTTTAGAAAATACCCCAAATATTAATCCATTACGATACATGTTTTGTTTGGGGATGCATAAGCAAAATATATTCACGTGTCCTTAAATTGAGACTTTATTCTTTTCCACTCAAATGTCCAAGAAAGCTGTTAAAAAGCCTTGGAATGAAAGGGCTGCTAGCGATCTGTAAAATGAGACTTGTTTGCTTCTGCGGGCCATCATTCCCCACTCAGTGACGACAAGTTGTTTTTTGTGCCCCAGCAGGACTGCACAGAGATTATCTTGTTGAGTTTCACTGGACTTAAGAGTGCACATGGAGCTGTCTGTCAAACTGAGGGGGAACACAATGCGGGGTAGTGCTGGCTTTGTTCTGTCTTGCTGTCTGGATGAGGGAACCCCACAAATGTCTACCTTGTTGTTGTAATGCAAACACAAACGTCTCAGCTCCAAGTGTCTTGGAGGAGGAGGAGCTAGAGGTGGGTGTACTGGCATTTCCCAGCTATGTTCAATTAATATCTGCATTGAATGGCTGCTGTGTACCTTTTACTGCTTTGTTTTTTAGTCTGATGTCCTTTTAGCCCCTAGTGTTCAGCCATCATGGGTACCATCTTCACTTACTCTGATGTCAGTAAATTACCTCCCAAGGGAATGCTGATCGAGTGTTATTTAAGAGAGGAAATGTGTGGCTTAATGTTGTTTAATCTCTTATGACCTTTCAACTGCAGCAGTGATGGAAACTCCCTGCGGAGATCCATAGACTTTGATCTCTCTAACTTGAGGTTTAGCACACTGACAGATATAAGTCGGTATTGTAAAGAGCATGTGATTAAACTACACCAGCCTTATAACATGCAGAATGCTCTACTTCTGTCTTGGTCATTTTGGTGGAGGAGATCTCAGATCTCTGCGTGAGCAACCTGGTTGTGAATTTGATTGTGCAAATAACAACACGTTCATGTGCAGACAGTACAAATGGTGTAGACCGCTCACCTGCATCCTCACACTACATGAAGATAACTTTCACTTACTGAGATGCTTGGGAGTAACTGACTAAGCTCACTCATCCATGCACACTAGAAAACCATCAAACACACTGAGCCTATTGTATACATTTTGATTGTTTTTGATAGTTCTACTGCTGGACATGACTTGTCTCACAGCATTAAAGCCAAAGCTATCTTTGCCCTCATACTGCCAGAAGGCTATTTTTGAGGTTAGTATGTGGGGAGAGATATGTCAGCTGTTCAGCACTACGCTCCATCAAAGCAAGAAAAAAGAGAAAGCGCTATAGGCTGTCTGCTTTGGGGTCTGGGACGCAGCTTGTAAACCTGGGCATGGTCTCCTTTGGCTAAACGTTTGTTGTTAATCTTAAAGGCTTTGTGAGAAACAGTACAAGACTCAGACAGATCTGTTGCCATGTTGGATCTTTTATCAAGCTGTTTTTTCAGGTAAAAGTGTTTTGTTTTTTGCCATTGGTGCAACAGGAGGGCATGCAAGGATGTATTCTTTCTAAAGAAAACACCTGTCTATGTTGAAGGTGGGTGCATTGTTGCATATGATCTGATATGATATTGTGTTGTTCTGGTAATCACTATCGAATGTAATATTAATAGAACATTTGTTTAATCATACTGCACAGTTGTATACGATATGTAAGTTTCATGTAAGGTCAGAGTCTTAATGATTGTGTACGGTATTTCCCGCTCAGTTGCTTTGAGGGTGCTCAACTCATTTCAGAGGTGTTTTTTTTTTTAAATGAAATCTATTTATTCATTTAATTTATTAAAACTTATTACGCCCCTAGAGTTGTCGCTATGTGACGCATCATGAAATGTCATTTTAGCTGGTAGATAATAAGATAAATCAACCTTCCTCTTGAAGTGCTTAGACAACCTCATGCCCCTAATTATAGTGGGAGGAGCCAGCCTCCAAACAGTGTCTCATGATCTCAAATATCATATCAATCAGTTTAGTAATTGGTAGTTCTCATTTGGCCCGTCGTTTATTTTTTTAAAGCTGCACAGTTCAGTTCATGCAGCCTCATGGAGGTGGCATCACAGCTGAGTCTATATTGGTGGTGCTGAGCTCAGCCAAGTAAGGTGACAGAGATTACTGATTACAGAGAGGCCTGGCATGCCATCACAGGGATCAACCAAATGAGGGTGATGCCATGTGTATCCATTTTGACAATGTTGCCATTTTGGAAGTGATGGTTTATATCATTATTAGCATGAGAGGAATCTGTTCGGCATGGGAAATTTAGGTTTGTCCAAAACAAACACAGGTCCATAAATTGCAGCAGAGGTTAATTACAAAACAGTACTGACAGAATGTCCCTGAAAGAAGCTGCATGGCAGTGTGAATGAGTTGGTGGAAGATGGCAGTTTTATGGCCGTATATCCTTTATAACAATGATATAAGCATTTATGAGTTATCTTCTGAGCCAGAACATTAACCAATATATATATATATTTTTTATCATATTATAGTTGTAGGCCTTCTGTGATAACTGTGGTAAAAAGATTCAAGATTCCCCAATCACACTCAGAGAAGAGCAGGAGGCATGGGAGACAATAAACCTGGAGGAATAGTAGCTGCTGCAAGTACGTTCTCTTCTCAAACAAAGTTGTAAATTTCAGTGTGGTTAATGGAACGGGCTTTTTAATCTCTAATGCTGGGTGTGTTTGTGTGCCAGAGAACCGTCTGCAAGTGGTGAAGGGCTTGGAGGATGTGGAGGTGTCTGAGTGTGAGAGCTGCTCCTTCGAGGTGACCCTGAACCTGGCCTATATTGAGGGTGTGTGGACCAGAGATGGGATGCAGCTTAAGTCCAAGCCCAACTGTCGCATCAGCACACATGGGAAGAAACACTCCCTCATACTGAACCGGGTGGCTTTGGCAGATGCAGGCCTGTTCTCTTTTCAGGCCAACGGTGTTCAGACCTCAGGCAGACTCAGCGTCACGGGTAAGGTAGTACAATAGACTTTGCTACTTGCACGGTCACACTTTAATTCTGTGAAAAAGACAATGGGCATATCAGGTCAAATCCAGGCCAAGGTTTAAACATTCAAATGATGGAATAAAGTCATTATAATATGACTGCACTCTTGTCTTACTACAGTAAATATGGTAATAGCCTAATTCATTTGATGCAGGGACAGTTATGTTGGTCTTTCAACATCATTCCAGGCTAAATTTTGTACAGCCATTCATGGTCTCTAGAGGTTGAGTCCTTGTGACTTTTGTGATCCCCTGACGTTCCCTCTAGTACCACCAGCAGGTTGACATTTTTGGTTTGTATTGAAATATCTCAACAACTATCACTACCAAACACTGGCTCTAGAGAGGGAGCGAGACAAAAATATTTTTGAAAAGTAATTACAAGGATATCAGAGAGTTTGTTTGGTTATCTTCTGCCAGCTAGGGACATCCAGATAGTGAAGGAGCTGGAGGATGTTGACACGATTGAGCGTCAACACGTGAACTTCCTGTGTGAGGTCAACCAGGTTGATGTGGATGGTCGGTGGTACAGAGATGACTGCCGAATTCGACCTGGGGACAACATCAAGATCAGACATCAGGGTAAGAGACCAACCACATGGTTTTACAGAGGCCTAAAGTGTGTATGGTAAATACTCCCCAGTTTTTGCTTCAAGAAGATGCGTTTGAGTGGTTGTACTGGGCCAGTCCTAGGTATATTTATTTTAATATCTGGTTAAATACAGTACCTTTTGCTTTAATCTGATCACAGGTAAAACTCACACCCTGTTCTTCAAGTCAGTCAGGCCAGAACATGCTGGAGAGATCAGATTCACTGCAGAGCGTGTCTCATCATATGCAACTCTCACAGTAAAAGGTGAGCCAAGTGCTGGCTGTTAATGTCACGATTTAACACAGATTTATGGAGGAAATGATGTCCGACCCCAGTTGGTCACTTCCTGTTCCTCTCTTCTTCAGAGCTCCCAGTCCAAATAGTGCGTCCTCTGAGGGTCAAGATAGCCATGTATCACCACCGGGGTCTGCTGGAGTGCCATGTATCACGACCTAATGCTCAGGTCAGGTGGTACAAGAACAGGAAGGAGCTCCTGCCCAGTAAGAAGTACCAACTAATCAGCCAAGATATCTACAGGCAGCTGACCATCGATGACGTCTGCTCTTCAGATGAGGACACCTACACTTGTGATGCAGGAGATGACAAAACCTCTTGTCAGCTTCTGGTGGAGGGTGAGATTTCTGCTGTCACAGTAATCATATCAGTTATAAACAATGTTATGTTTATGGCCTACAGTATGTTTTTCATTCATGTAATGCTTGTGTGTATGTGTTTCTAATATTCAAACTATACAATCAAGTCGTGTCAGTAGTGGTAATGTGTATTATGGCTGTACATGCAGAGCAGGCTATCAGCATAGTGCGGGGGCTGCGCTCAGTGGAGGTGATGGAGCCAGAGCCAGCACTGTTCCAAGTGGAGACCAGCCTGAAATCAGGGAGGCCACCCCGGTGGACCCTGAACGGTGAAGTGCTGGAGCCCAGCACAGTAGTGAACATTGACAGAGAGGGCACCCTCCACAGCCTCTGTCTCACCTCCACAGAAAGCTCCATGTCTGGCCCTGTTCTCTTTGTAGCTGGCAAGAGTCGTTCCACTGCTCAGCTCACTGTCAAAGGTGAGTTGTCTGATTATGCAAAAGAGACCATGGATAAAGCAATGTGAAGTTGTCATTGAACTGGAATTTTTCTTATTATCTAAAAGATAAACGGTGGTTTAAAATGAAATATCAGTGCGCAATATAAACATTAATACAGTAAAAATATAAAAGTAAATAGGAACCACACCCTGTGCAGTTTGGACTGTTTTTTAGGAATATCTCATTAAGTGGCTTTACATCTCTCCCCTCTAGAGCGACCCCTTCAGGTTGCCGACCAATTGGATGATGTAGAGGTGAAAGAGAACAGCTCTGTGACTCTGAGCTGTAAGTTTGCCCCCTCTCCCAGGGTGGTGCGGTGGTTTAAAGGTCGTACGGCTCTGAAAACCTCAAACAAGTACAGCATGAGGAGAGAAGGGAAACGAGCAGAGCTGACTATTCATGGCACGACAGCGATGGATGCAGGACAGTACCGCTGCATGGCTGGAGGTTCACAGAGCTCAGCACATGTTAGGGTAGAAGGTAGGTTAAACATGGTCTAGGGAAAATTGAGTTGTGAGGTAAAGTAACACTTTCTGTATTTTTATTACACTACCTATTTATGTTAGTTCAGTTGAAGATTCATAGTGAATTTCTCCCTGTTATTGTAGTGCGAACACTGAAGTTGGTTAAACACCTTGAGCCAGTGGAAATTGAGGAGGATGGCATTGCCACATTCTCATGTGAGCTCAACTATGTGGTTGCCAACATGGAGTGGCTCCTCAACAATGTTCGCCTCTATTCCAACGCCATCAACAGGATCCAGCACATGGGCACTATGCACAGCCTCACAATCAAGAAGCTGCGGCCACAGGAGAGCAGGGTCACCTTCAAAGCAGGCCTTCTCTCTGAGACAACCACCTTAAAGGTCAAAGGTCAGCTGGGGCGATAACTTTTTTATTTTCTGATACATATATACATTTCTATTTATGAATTTCTGAGAAACATGCATACTATGAATAGTAATTTTTTCCTCCAGAGCGCCCAGCAGTGTTCCTGAGGTCACTGGAGGATGTAGTTGGAGAAGAGCAAGGGGAAGTCTGTCTGCAGTGTGAAATTTCCAAAGAGTCAGTGACCCCTGTTTGGAAAAAGGATGGCATTGTTCTGACCGCAGATGATAAACACGAGTTACTGCAGTTTGGGAAGTCCATGGCACTGATTATCCGTTCCCTGAGCAAGGATGATGCTGGACAGTACATCTGTGACCTGGGCACCAGCCAGACCAAGGCTAAAGTTACTGTACATGGTGAGTAGTAGAAAAAATATTGTTGGTAATTTGGGAAGACATTAATATCACATTAAGTTGTCTGCCATCAAATGATTGACATAATCAGAAAAGGAACCTCAAATTTTTTTCATAAAACTGACACTAAAGCTTTAAGGTATATTTATTGTGATAAGGCTTCTTTTCTGTTAATATCTTATTTACAGACTTACACATCACTATTGTTCAGCGTATGAAGACAACATCTGTCCTGGAAGGCGAAAGCTGCACTTTTGACTGCGAGCTCTCTCATGATCTTGATGATGAGCCTTCATGGACCATCAATGGCCAGGTGGTGGTCACCAATAGCCGTATCCAGGTTATCAACAATGGCCGCAAGTATAAGTTGACCATTAGAGATGCTATGCTGACCGACGCTGGAGACGTGGTGTTCACAGTTAAAGACCTGAGCTGTAGGACCATGCTCTTTGTTAAAGGTGAATACTGGCCATTTCAGATAAAATAATCAGCACTGTTTTATCTGCATTGTGTATATGAGGAAAACTGTATTTTATCTTGAAATAAGCCAGAATGTGAGCGAATTGTATTTCCCCTCCTTTAGAAAAGCCAGTGCACATCTTCAGGGACCTGTTGAATGTCAAAGCGGTGCCGGGTGAGGATGCAGAGTTGAGCTGTGAGATTACCAAACCAGACGTCACCATACATTGGCTGAAAAATGGCCATTTGATCAGGCAGAGCCCTAAGTATGAGATGAGTGTGGAGAAGAACCTGGCACGATTGGTTATCAAGAATACCACCATCAGAGACTCTGGAGATTACTGCTGTGAGGCCGAAGGCGTCGCCTCGCGTGCAAAGCTGGAGATCAGAGGTAGGTGAGGGCTTTCAAAATAAATGTTAAATGATGACTATAGATACAGTGTGGTGTTCTTCGGCCTTTTTAAACTTTGTTATCTCCTTCAGAACTCCAGCACACATTTGCGAGGGAGTTAAGGGACACACGAGCTGAGGAAAAAGGTAAAGTGACCCTGGAGTGTGAGACCAGGCGGCCAGCCAAGCGAGTGACCTGGCTGAAGGGCATGGTGGAGCTGAGGTGCGGTAGGAAGTATGTCATCAGGCAGAAGGGCGTGGTGCTGTCCCTGACCATCACCTGTCTGGAGAAGTCGGACACAGATATTTACATATGTGATGTTGGTACCATGCAGAGCCGGGCACAGCTGACTGTGCAGGGTAAGAACATATTCACTGCATCAGTGTGGTTCAGGGGTGTTTATTTAAATTCAACTGTGGCCAAATGGTAGTTGGGCTAAAGATACTGTATGTGGGCTATATAAGGATAGATCTTTATCTTAAACGTCAATTCAGTTGTAGGAGAAATTCTGGGATATATTTTCACATTTAAAAATAGCCCAATATTACATGAATTATATTCTTCTTACTGTCCATTAAAGTCTTGATTTCAAGGCTTATATTCAGTTGATATATGATATATAATAACAGAATTGCAATATATTATTTAACACAGATACTGCATGTCAGCGAAATAATGAAGGTATACATGCAAAGCTAAAATCCTTTGCCAAAATGATACTAAAAATAATCCTCAATTCCTCCATTTTTATTGAGTGTAATGCTTAATAAAGTACTAAGGATGTTGATTAAGGCTTCTAGTAGCCACTGTGTAACATTTATGTGATATTTGACTTTTCCATATTTTCTGTGTTTCTCTCAGGTCAGAAGGTGTTGATCCTGGATGAATTGGAAGATGTTGAGTGTCTCGAGGGCGACACTGTCACATTCAGGTGTCGAATTTGTCCCAGTGACTACATCGGAGTCAAGTGGTATCTGGACGAGACCCTGCTGTACACCAATCAGCTCAATGAGATCCAGATGGTGCCTGGAGGCTACCACACGCTCACATTTAGACAGCTCGCCCGCAAAGACACTGGCACTATCTCGTTTTCAGCAGGGGACAAACGATCGTATGCCTCACTGTTGGTCAGAGGTGAGGCTTTAATCTGCCTGAGAGTTTCATTGTGTGTAAGTCACATTTAATGTGGTCTTGATTTGGCTTCATCTCCTCTTGTTATTAGAGAGGCGTCCCACCATCATTAAAGCACTGGAAGACTGTGAGGCTATTGAAGGTGGTGGTTTGGTTTTGTCTTGTGTGACCTCAAAGCCATGTCACATCCTGTGGTACAAAGATGGCTGCCTCATGTGGAACTCCTCAAGGTATTTTGCCAGTCGTTCCGGCTGTGAGGCTCGGCTGACGATTCGGGAGGTCTGCAATAATGATGCAGGAGTGTATGAGTGCAGTGCTGGATCTGTTACAACTAGAGCCGCGGTAACTGTCAAAGGTATGATTAGCATTTTATTGGACAGTTATTGTAGGACTGCTATTACTTACTATTGCCCATCATTACATGCCAGAGGAGTGTTATTGATTGTACAGGTAAAATTTGTAATAACATTAGTTTTTCTGCTTATTGTTGAAAAGTTAGCATCCTTCTGTTTTCCCTCTTTTTTTAGCCATCCCAGCCGAGTTCACCCACCCTCTAAAGACTGTCGAGGCCAAAGAGGGGGAGACTGTGACCCTGACCTGTGAGTACTCTCTGCCTGGGGTCCAGTTCCACTGGAGGAAAGGTTTTGAGTGTATCAGGCCTGGAGACAAGTACGTGATGAAACAGAGGAAGACAATCAATTCCCTAACCATCAAAGCCATAAAGCCTGAGGACTCAGGAGAATATACCTGTCAGTGCAGAGATCACCACACTACAGCAAGCCTCAAAGTGCATGGTATGCCATTTTCCTTACCTTTATTGTTAATTTTACCAAAAACCTACATTATTGCAAGTCTGTGTATTTGAAAGTAATTTCAGTATTTTCTTATTTCTGATGCGTGCACATGAACTCAGTCTCTCATACTGTGGTCTTAGATATCCCAGTCAGCCACGTTTTTACTTTCCAGAATAAAATACAACATATATTTTCAGAGAATAATTCTCCTCTCGGATTTGTCTGTATTATGAAACTTTTTTGTTTGTTAAAAAGCTCCATTACACAGAAAGAGAATGCATTCTGTTGTAGGGCTTAAGATGTTTTAATGAGTGCTGTGTTGTGCTTCAAAATGTGTTTGGCTCATATCTCTATGACAAATTGCTGAATGCCTGGCATATTATTGATGTATTTATTCCCATGCATCAAATCTATTCACCAATACTATGCATAGATACAGCATTTCTACCTTGCTCCTAAATCTATTTATTTAAAAAAAAAGTCAACTTTTGTTTTCCAGCTATTCCCATTACATTTACACAGCACTTAAAGAACATGCAAGCAGAGGAGGGAAGTAATGTCATGTTGCGCTGTGAGCTGTCTAAACCTGGATTTCCAGTAGAATGGAGGAAGGGACATGAGCTGTTGAAAAACGGGGTTAAGTTCCAGATAAGGAAAAGGGAAACCACCCTGGAGCTCCTGATATGGAAGCCAGTGCCTGAAGACAGTGGGGTCTACAGCTGTGTGTGTGCTGATCAGATGACATCTGCCACTGTCAAAATCACTGGTAGGACATGATTTACCAATAGGCTGATGGGATGTAGTGATCAACAAAATTTGACAGATGTACTTAATAAATATCAGTAATTCATCAACAATAATTATTCAATCTATGGTCATCCTCAGCTCTCCCAGTCACCTTCAAGCAGAAGCTGAGGAACGTGCTGATTGAGGAGGGCAACACTGCGACTTTACGCTGTGAGCTCTCGAAACCTGGTCACAGTGTGGAATGGAGGAAGAGGGGAAATGAACTCATCAGCAATGGAGAGAAATATCACATGCGGCAGAGAGACATGCTGATTGAACTGAAGATCTTTGATGTAACACCTGAGGACAGCGATATCTACACATGCATCTGTAGAAACATAGAGACCACTGCAACTCTGACTGTTAATGGTAGGTGTTTGTTACTGACAGTGTTTCATTATGTTCTACAATGTTTACTTTGTAGGAAGTCATATTATTATAAGGCAGAGTCCGATCGGAACTTAAGTTAATTAAGTATGTTCCTCCTACAGTAACAAGTAGGTTAGTCACACAAAGTATGACATTAAACGTAACAAAACAGAATTAACGAAGCAATAGACAACAAGCATTGAGCTGAATTAGATTATATAAGTATTTAAAAAACAATGTTTTGAACAACTGAGAGCAATTTAAAAGGCAGAAAACTGAATAGAGAAGAGTATAAAGTGTAAAAATACACTGGTTTAGATATAAAATCATGCAGCCAGATCTCAGAATATAAGAACTGAAAATGTGATAGTAGTTAATGTTACTCTCCATCATGTAGCAAGACACTAAACTTTATTTGTATTCTTCACTGGCACACAGTTGTGTAAAAGCTAAATATCACAACAATACACATGGAAATTTAATGTTCATTAAATTCTTGATTTCATTCTTATTTTTCAAACTCTTTTGCGTTCAGCTCTTCCTGTCACCTTCAAGCAAAAGCTGAAGAACCTCCAAGTGGAGGAAGGACATAACATAACGCTGTACTGTGAGATCTCTAAACCTGGTGTCCCAGTGGAGTGGAGGCTTGGAGGAGATCTGTTGGAGAACGGAGACAAGTACCAGATTAAGCAGAGAGAATCGGCCCTGGAGTTAATCATCAGAGATGCTGATCCAGAGGACAGCGGGGTCTACACCTGTGTGTGTAGAGAGCAGAGGACAAAGGCCACTGTAAAAGTTATCGGTATGTTTAATGTTTGTAGTACAGCATACTCTCTTGTTTCTTTGTTTATTCTTATTCTTTATTGAGCTACATGTAAAATGCTTCTTTAACGTTCTTGCCAGTGTTCTGCTTCACATGCATAAACAGTATCTGTGCTTGCTTCAACAGCTGTTCCTGCCACATTTAAAGTGAGCCTGAAGAGCCAGGAGGCTGAAGAAGGGAACAGTGTGACATTACGCTGTGAGCTGTCAAAGAAGGGAGTCCCGGTGCAGTGGCAGAGAGGTGCTCAGGTGCTGTCTGAGGAGATATTTCGAGGAAAGTATCAGATGAAGCTAGAAGGAAAGACGGCTCAGATGACCATTCTCAATGTCCAACCAGAGGATGCAGGGAAGTACAGCTGCATCACAGGAGATGAGAAAACCACAGCTGAAGTCAAAGTGAAACGTAAGTTTGAAGCCTGCAGAAACCAATTAAAACACATTAGTCTGTGGAATTTCAAACCTGTTGCCCGTGTTATCTTCACAGTACATTTAAAATAATGATTATATGGTTATACCCTGTCATTTTCATGATTATATCTAAAAAGCTGTTATTATGGGTGCTGCCATGACTCAGCTGTCTCAGTATATCTCTTACTTACGTAATTCGTGCACCTGTGACTTAGCAATACATAACCTCAGGTCCCATTAGATTTTGAATGTGTATGTACATCTCCTAAAGTACAAAATCCCAAATCCCATACCTATGATACCAAAGTGTGAGATTTTATTGCTTTAAAGAAAGCAGAAGCAGGGTAAATGGCATAGCAGGTTGCAAATCTATGCATTCAATGAATTCAAGATTTTCTAATACTCCCACAACAGCACTTCCTGTGACATTCAAACGAGAGATCCAGGGCCTGGTCGTGAAAGAAGGGGACAGTGGAGTTTTCTGCTGTGAGCTCTCCAAACCTGGAACTCCAGTGGAGTGGAAGAAAGGCAGAGTGATCCTGAAGCCTGGAGAGAAATATGAGATGAAGCAGGAGGGACGTCTCACTAAACTGGTCATCAACAACGTAGAGGAGAGCGATGCTGGGAAATACACCTGCAAGACTAAAGACAGCCAATCAACTGCTGAACTCACTGTCCGAGGTAAGGGGAATTTATGTTGAAACTACTCCAAGTATGCTGGATTCATTATTTTATGCACATTTCTTTCTCTTTTTTTGAATTTTCCTAATGTGTTCAACAGAATCACCTGAGCGCAGACGTCAAAGAGGTCAGCTCAAACATAGTACAAAAACAAAATAGACCTAGTGGGTATTAGCACTGTGTGAGATCCATTATGTTGTTTCACTAAAACTCAATGGAGAAATTACAGTTTTATAACTTGTCACCCAATATGCTTATGGGTAAATGTCACAGCACTCTGTTTGTGCTGTACATTTTGTTCTTGTGAGCTGGGTGAAAAGATACAGTAGATGGGATGTAGAGTCACATCATGTCATACTGTAACTTCAGGCAATAGTTTGTAATTAGATACATCCCAAACACTTCTCTAACTAAACTCTAGCATTAGTATTAGCTTTATGTAAGTGGTGTAACATGTTTGATAGTTTGTGCCAGAAAAAGGGCTTTTGGGGGTAGATGGGATTAAAAAATGTAACTCACGGCCCATAATGGATTGTCACAACTCCATTCCACAACTGGATGGTTAGCTAGAAAAAAGGAGCATGACAGATTTTCTTGTGATCATACCTGCCATGTCCCTTACATCACTGCCATAATGAAACTTCCATGTAACATATATTGTGTTCCTTGTCATACTGAAGGCAAGGAAATGTGTTATGGAATCCACTGAATCCAGTAGATCTCTGCATGATCACATAATTGTTGCCATGTTTTACCTGTTTTGGTTCAGCAGAGATTTTTTTTTAACCCTTATTTGGCCCTAAATTTTTATTCTTATTAAAGCCTCTTGCGAAAGAATCCCAAATCCCAAATTGCTAGTGATGGTTAGGCGAGCACCTTGCATGGTAGCTTGCCATCAGTGTGTGAGTGTGTGTGTGTGTGTGTGTGTGTGAATGGGGAAATGAACTACAGATTGTAAAACATTCTGGCTATTTAGCCATTTATATAATATTATATATATATTACATAAAAAGATTTTCTTTTATTGACAGGTTTACCACCAAGTTTTAAGCTGCCACTGGTCAACCAGGAGGTGACGGAGAGCAACAGTGTGGTTCTGCGCTGTGAGCTGAACAAACCTGCCCCGTCGGTGGAGTGGAGGAGAGAAGGAGAGCTGTTGAAAAATGGAGACAAATACCAGATGAGGAAGAAGGACCTGCAAGTGGAGATGAAGATTGCAGACCTCAGTCTGGACGACACTGGAGATTATACCTGTATGTGTGGAGAACAGAAGACAACAGCTACAGTCATTGTGAATGGTGAGTGCTGGATACACTTGCATTGCTTTGCTTTAGTGCTTCATATGTTGTGAACATATAACGCACTAAGTATGTGAAGATCAAATGAATACACAGTAAATCAAATGCTAAAATATAAACAGGCTAAATACAAACCAAAACAACACAGAACTAAATGCAAAATGGACAACGTTGACATATATATTGTGGAGTTATTGGTGGTTTTAGGGGATTTCTGGGTCACAAGTTGTTGTAGTAGTATACAAATAAATTGCATAAGATTTGGTTGGTTGAAAGACAAGACGGAATATATCAGTATAGTAGGTGATATAATAAACGATCAATGTGTTAGCAAGTATAGAATAGCTTTCAGTCAGGACTAAAGAGCAGCAAAACAGACTCCTTCTCCTCCTGTGGTTTGCTTTAGAACGGCCCATCAAATTCCTTCAAGAACTGAAGAATATTCAAGTGCAGGAGGGCAACGGAGTGACACTCTGCTGCGAGCTCTCCAAACCTGGCACTCCAGTGCAGTGGAAGAAGGGAGACGACGTGTTGACCAGCGGAGAGAAATACCAGATGAAGCAGAACGGCTCCACACTGGAGCTCCTCATCAGGAAAAGCCAGCCCGAAGACAGTGGCACATACAGCTGTGTTTGTGATGACATAAAAACTACTGCCACCATCATCATCACTGGTGAGTGCCATTACACATGATGTAACATAGTAACATAACTATGCTTCGGTAATCTGCACTTCTTATACAGTATTTTGCGTTGTCTGTCTGTGATGTCACTCTTCAGCGATCCCGGTAACTTTCAAGCAAAAGTTGAAGAACCAGGAAGCTGTGGAGGAAGGCAGCGTGACACTGCGCTGTGAGCTTTCTAAACCAGGAGTCTCAGTGGAGTGGAGGAAAGACGCTCAACTTCTGAAGGAGGGCGAAAAATACCAGATGAAGCAAGAAGGCAGGGTGACTGAGATGCTGATCAGACATTTGACTCTCACAGATACTGGGGAGTACAGCTGTTTTGTTGGCACTGTTGTGACTTCAGCTGACATTAAAGTAAGAGGTAAGCTCCGGCCATTACATGGAAAGACATTTTGTTTCTTAACCACAGTGAGACAGACCTGGTATTTCCCACAAAGTAAATATGGTAGATGTGTTAAGAAATCTAACAAGAAACTATTTTGAATTGTGTGGGAAAATGAAAGAGTGAGTCATTTCAGATTTTGCTTAATTTGATGTTTTTTTATCAGCAATTCCTGTGACATTTAAACAAGAGGTGGCGAATTTGGAGGTAAAGGAAGGGGACAGTGGCATTTTCTGCTGTGAGCTCTCCAAACCTGGAGCTCCAGTGGACTGGAGGAAAGGCAGAGTGATCCTCAAACCTGGATACAAATATGAGATGAAACAGGAGGGATGTTTCACTAAACTGATCATCAACAACATAGAGGAGAGCGATGCTGGGAAATACACCTGCAAGACTGACGATAGCCAATCAACTGCTGAGCTAATTGTCAAAGGTAAGATAGAGATCCCGAGCTGAAAACATGATTAGACAATATCTAAACCTTCTCCATTTTTAGAAAATACCCACTCTTTGGCTGTTCTCCTTGCAGCTCCTCCAATCACATTCAAGACAAAGTTAAAGAACCAGCAGGTGGAGGAGGAGAACAGTGTGACGTTGAGGTGTGAGCTGTCTAAACCCGGCCTTGCTGTGGAGTGGAGGAAAGGACAAGAGCTGCTGAAGAATAATTTCAAGTACCAGATTAAAAATCGAAACAGCATCATGGAGCTGACCATCAAAAACACACAGCTGGAGGACAGTGGTCTTTACAGCTGTATATATGGTGACGTCAAGACCACAGCCAACATCACCATTACACGTAAGGGAAGATTGTAAATGAAAGAATGTTTGTGTGTTTTTGCATTTACATAGCAAAAAGGTAAACCACCTTATCCAATCTGCTGAAATGTTCTATTTGATTGATTCAAGTAAAGTGTTTTGACCTTCATGGCAGTCATAGATAGACATAAAAAAACAAAAGAAAAACACAACGTGTGCTTGATTTTTCCACAGCTATCCCCCTCTCCTTTAAAATGGGTCTGAAGAACCAGGAGGCCCCTGAAGGAGGAAACGTGAGCCTTCGCTGTGAACTGTCCAGGGCCGGAGTGCCTGTGCAGTGGTGGAAGGCTGAGGATCAGCTCTATCATGGGGGAAGATATCAGATGACCCTGAGAGGGAAGATAGCTGAGATGCACATCAAAAACATCCAGCCCGAGGACGTCGGGGAGTACAGCTGCATCTTAGGGGAACAGAAGACAACAGCCGAAGTGAACGTGAGAGGTATTTGACATGCTACTATGTTGTGTTACGCTAGGCAGCACCCACACGTGTGACACTTTTGTAACATACCGTCTCTTTTCCTTCTTTTACCAGCTGCAGCATCTGTGTTCTTTGAGAAGGAACTGGAAAGCCAAGCAGTGATGGAGGGGAAATCTGTGCTGCTGTCTTGTGAAGTTTCCAGTGCTAATGTCCCTGTGACTTGGAAGAAGGACAACATTGTGGTGGAGGAAGGAGGGCGATACATTTTAAAGAAGAAAGGCCCCACACACACGCTGGAGATTAAGAAACTGTATCTGGAGGATGCTGGAGAGTACTCCTGTATCTCCAGAGGCAAGAAGACCACTGCCAAGCTGATCGTGAGGGGTAGGTGGATACTAAAGTAGAATTTTACTGATATTTTACTGTTATTTACTGATATATCTGGCTAATTCATTTACAGTTCAAGAAATGCGGCATGAATACAACCAACAGCCCACACTCATCTAAGTTATTGTAAAATAAATCACATTCCATCTCCATCTCTAAAAATCCAGCTGTATATAGCTTCCTCTTCCTCCACAGAGCGTGTGCGGATCGTTACAGAGCTGCAAGGCATAACGGTGACAGCGGGTGAGGACGCAGAGTTTGTGTGTGAGTTAAGCCATGCAGACGTGAGTGAAGGGGTCTGGTGGCTTGGCTCCAGCCCTCTGCAGAAGAACGAGATGAACCAGATGATGTGCCAGGGTCGACTGCACCGACTGGTCCTCACCATGACAACACCTGAGGAGACGGGAACCGTGGCATTTGTGATCGGGGAGGAGAGGACCTCTGCACGTCTGCTAGTTGTTCCTAAGCCCAAAGGTGAGCAGAAACATAAGGGAAACTTTTTTATTATTCATCAGTAATGTGTAATTTCAGCTAAAACAATTTCCTCTGAATCAGGGAGTCTAAAGTGGCATTTTATCTCAAATCCTAGTTTTATTTGAAGAGAAGCCTAAAGATGTTGTGATCATGGAAGGAGAGACAGCAACTTTGTCCTGCATGACCTCGGATTTTACCTCTCCGGTTACCTGGAGGCGCAACCACATCCCGCTCCGAAATGGTGATAAATATGAGATACATAAGGAAGGAAAAGTCAACCTGTTGCTTATCCATGATGTGGATCCCCTGGACACTGGCATATACTCGTGTGATACAGGGGATGTGCAGAGCAGTGCCAAACTTACTGTAACAGGTAGATACTGTAAAATGTACCATCTCCCCTTGGAATGCTATCTGTTATACCTGCTTTATTTGAATAGTAATAAATAATACTGAAATATTCCTATTACACTAAATGCCTCAAATCCTCATCTTCCTCTCCCAGAGCTTCCTCCATTCTTCCAAGAAGAATTGCAGAGTGTGGAAGTTGAGGAGGGAGGTTCAGCCTCGCTTTACTGTGAGCTGTCTAAACTCGGAGTGCCGATTCAATGGAAGAAGAACCGACTGCCACTAAGAGCCAGCAGAAAGTACGAGATGAGGCAAGATGGTTGCTTCCTCCAGCTTCACATCAAGGAGCTCAAGCTTGAGGACAGTGGCAGCTACTCATGTCAAGCAGGAAGTGCAGAGACCACTGCAGCTGTGTCAGTGAAAGGTATGTCTGTTTTGCAGTGAACAACTCTGTGTTGGCTCTGCGTGCATTTAACCACTCAACATAATTCAGTGTACTGCAAATGTCACTATATCTATACCCGCACACAAGTAATGTATATGTCAGTTAAGATACTTTCCTGTGATTGTGTGAAATTCCTGGAACTCATTGCATTTTCCAACATAGCAATTCCCACCCAAATGTAACTTAATCAGTACACTTTGTTGTCAGTACTGAAGGCAGTCTATGCCCACATACTAGCGTCAAATGCAGTGACTTTCAGGTAATTTCCTGTGATTTTGTGAATCTACAAATACTGCATGTACTATTATGCTAAACTAAAATAACAAAAAGCTTCTTTTTTTGTGGTGACACCTCACACATGTACCTCTTATGATAAAGATATATCATTTTGTCCCTCCCAACCCTTTTTCTCAGAGCTTCCTCCATTCTTCAAGAAAGAATTAAGAAGTGTGGAGGCTGAGGAGGGAGGTGGAGCCTCTCTGTACTGTGAGCTGTCTCAACCTGGGGTATCAGTGCAATGGAAGAAGAACAGGCTGCCATTGAGAGCCAGCAGGAAGTACGAGATGAAACAAGATGGCTGCCTCCTTCAGCTGCACATCAAGGACCTCAAACCTGAGGACAGTGGAAGCTACACATGTCAAGCAGGAAGTGCAGAGACCACTGCAGTCGTGTCAGTGAAAGGTATGTGCATTTATAGATTGCATGGCATGTCATAGAGAGGACTAAATACATTTTTTTTCAGTGCTTTTTGTGACAATGAAAGTTTCCTGAAACTCCATATGATTTGTTATAATATGGAGAAAATGCATATTTCACATAGGTAGCTACAAAAACATTAACACTATTTCTAGTCTTATTTGGCCCTTACTTGCTAATGTCTGAAATGTTATTCTATTAAACCAAACTTCTATTCATTCGTCTTACCGCTCTCTCTTTCCCAGAACTCCCGGCATTTTTCAAAGAAGAATTGCAGAGCGTGAAGGCTGAGGAGGGAGGTTCAGCTTCTCTGTACTGTGAATTGTCTAAGTCGGGAGTGTCAGTGCAATGGAGGAAGAACAAGTTGCCACTGAGAGCAAACAGGAAGTATGAGATGAAACAAGATGGCTGCCTCCTCCAGCTGCACATCAAGGACCTCAAACCTGAGGACAGTGGCAGCTACACATGTCAAGCAGGAAGTGCAGAGACCACTGCAACTGTGTCAGTGAAAGGTTTGTACATTTGGATATCTGCATAGTAAATATTACAGTGTCAGCAAGGTTTAAATCATAAATAACCTTTTTAGATAATTAGTTGGTATCATCTGAACTTGCTGAAGTGTTTCCTAGTGGAGTACAGATTCTCTCATGTGTCATGCAATTTTTCTACATGATATTTTGCCTCAACTTGACACTGTCTCAAAAGCTATTTCTGTTATAATAAAACACCCTCATTACTCCCTAAATATTTTAAATTTTACAGAGCTCCCACCATTTTTCAAAGACGAACTACAGAATGTGAAAGCCGAGGAAGGGGCTACAGCCTCCCTGTGCTGTGAACTGTCTAAGCCTGGAGTGTCTGTACAATGGAGGAAGAACAAACTGCCACTGAGAGCTAACAGAAAGTATGAAATGAAGCAGGATGGGTGCCTCATCCAGCTCCACATCAAGGATCTCAAACCTGAGGACAGTGGCACCTACACATGTCAAGCTGGAAATGCAGAGACCACTGCAACTGTGTCTGTAAAAGGTGCGTCAACTATGTTTGGAGAATTCTGACTTTATAATATTAGATGTACTTGCATTTTATTGTACAATACTTTCCTGTACCTCTCCAGTCTATGTGGTAGTCATTATTTTATGACACTCAGCCGTATTATGATAAACCTGCCCACTTAGAAAATAGGTTTTCCAAAAAACCTGTACAAAGTCTGTTCTGGTGAGGTTTCAAGCATTGTTGCCTTTACATTATAGATGTACAATTCTGTTTTTTCTTGCCTATTTTCCCAGAGCTCCCTCCATTCTTCAAGAAAGAGTTAGTAAGTGTGGAGGCTGAGGAGGGAGCTACAGCCTCTCTGTACTGTGAGCTGTCTAAGCCTGGAGTGTCAGTGCAATGGAAGAAGAACAAGCTGCCACTGAGAGCCAGCAGAAAGTATGAGATGAAACAAGATGGCTGCCTCATCCAGCTCCACATCAAGGATCTCAAACCTGAAGACAGTGGAAGCTACACATGTCAAGCAGAAAGTGCAGAGACCACTGCAGCTGTGACAGTGAAAGGTATGTGCATTTGGCTAAATTCAGTGTACTTTCTTGAATGTGTTAAGTTTCTGTTGTTACATTTTCACCATCTACATTGTAAGTTGGTTGAAAAAGGTTGATAATGTCTGCATTGTGTCTCAAGCATTCTCTGAATCCTACAATGTATGATTATGTTTTTTTCCCATCCATACTTATTGTTGCAGAGCTTGCACTATTCTTCAACAAAGAATTACAAAGTGTGAAGGCTCAGGAGGGAGCTACAGCCTCCCTTTACTGTGAGCTGTCTAAGCCTGGAGTGTCTGTACAATGGAGGAAGAACAAGCTGCCACTGAGAGCTAACAGGAAGTATGAGATGAAGCAGGATGGCTGCCTCCTTCAGCTCCACATCAAGGATCTCAAACCTGAGGACAATGGCAGCTACACATGTCAAGCAGGAAGTGCAGAGACCACTGCAGCTGTGTCAGTGGAAGGTAGTGGATTAGCAATGAAAAAATTCAGTGTTAGCAATGCATGCATTCAATCACACGCCAACACTTTAAGTACCGATGATTGTCTAAACTTTCTGGTATGTTCTGAGCTGCTAATATTACACTCCCACCCATCTATAAATAGGTTGCAGGGTTTTCATTTTCATTTATCATCAAAGACAATTTAGTCTCCTTCCAGTCAGGTTTCAAACCCTTTCCAATGTTTTTCTAACAATTACTTACCTTATTTCCCAGAGCTCCCACCATTCTTCAAGGAAGACTTGCGAAGTGTGGAGGTTGAGGAAGGAGCAACAGCCTCCCTGTGCTGTGAGCTGTCTAAGCCTGGAGTGTCAGTGCAATGGAAGAAGAACAAGCTGCCACTGAGAGCTAACAGCAAGTATGAGATCAAGCAGGATGGCTGCCTCCACCGGCTTCAAATCAAAGAGCTCAAACTTGAGGACAGTAGCAGCTACACATGTCAAGCAGGAAGTGCAGAGACCACTGCAACTGTGTCTGTAAAAGGTGTGTGCATTTGAATATTTTACTATATCAACATACTCTCAAGCCACAGACAAGTAATGTAATGTTGAAATCGTTTTTTGGTGACTGTCTGAACTTTCTGGGACTCATTGTAATTTCTAAAATATCAGTTCCCACCAATCTACCATGTAAGTACACATAGGTAGTCTTGACAAAACCCAGTTTGGTCCATGTTTGGTAATCTCTCGAGCAGCATTTCTTTAAGGAAAAACACACGCTAAAGACATTTCCCTCCTTGGTTTTCACAGAGCTTCCTCCATTCTTCAAGAAAGACTTGCAAAGTGTGAAGGCTGAGGAAGGAAGTACAGCCTCCCTTTGCTGTGAGCTGTCTAAACCTGGAGTGTCTGTACAATGGAAGAAGAATAAGCTGCCACTGAGAGCTAACAGGAAGTATGAGATGAAACAAGATGACTGCCTTCTACAGCTCCACATCAAGGATCTCAAACCTGAGGACAGTGGAAGCTACACATGTCAAGCAGGAATGGCAGAGACCACTGCAACTGTGACAGTGAAAGGTGTGTATATGTGGACATTTTCATAGCAATGAAAAATCCTGTTTTAACAATGTACAAAAAAAATGACATAATAAAAATTAATGTACTTTCCTATGATTATCTAAAACTTCTTGTACATATTATGTTGCTCATATTGCAAACCAACCTAGATTATAAGAAAAGTCTTGATACTGTATTTCTTTCAAATACAATTTTGTCCTTTTCCAGTTAGGTTTTATACATTTTCCAGTTACACTGAAAATCTATGATTATGTTTTTCCAATCTGCACCCATTTCCCAGAGCTCCCACCATTCTTCAAGAAATGCTTGGAAAGTGTGAAGGCTGAGGAGGGAGGTTCAGCCTCTCTGTACTGTGAGTTATCTAAGCCTGGAGTGTCCATACAATGGAAGAAGAACAAGCTGCCACTAAGAGCTAACAGGAAGTACGACATGAAACAAGTTGGCTGCCTCCTCCAGCTGGACATCAAAGAGCTCAAACCTGAAGACAGTGGTACCTACACATGTCAAGCAGGAAGTGCAGAGACCACTGCAGCTGTGACAGTGAAAGGTGTGTACACCTGTTGTGGTGTATGCATGGAACATTTTACTGTATTGCCTCTCAAGTTCTCAATGACAGGGAGGTATACTATAATTTTAATCCTCAAATGTGATTGTGTGAACTGTTGCAAACTCCTTCTATCAAGCACATTTAATATATAATCCAAATCAAACCATGAAAACAAAATCTATTTAAAAATCATATTTGGTGTCTTGTCTGGCTCTTTCTCAATTAATATTTTGGTCCACTCTGTCCTACCTACCTAGAGCTTGCTCCAGTTTTCAACAAAGAATTACAAAGTATAGAAGCTGAAGAGGGAGCTACAGCCTCCCTGTGCTGTGAGCTGTCTAAGCCTGGAGTGTCTGTACAATGGAAGAAGAACAAGCTGCCACTGAGAGCTAACAGCAAGTATGAGATCAAGCAGGATGGCTGCCTCCTCCAGCTCCACATCAAAGAGCTCAAACCTGAGGACAATGGCAGTTACACATGTCAAGCAGGAAGCGCAGAGACTACTGCAGCTGTGTCAGTGAAAGGTATGTGCATCTTGATACCTAATTGCCAAAGTTACATGAATAAGATGAGTTTACCCATGTTCTTTTCTGTTCAACCTCCACCTCCCATAAATATACTATATTTTCCTTCAACCTCTTGTCTAGCACTACAACCAACTCCAAAGATAGAGCCTCCTACAATAATGCCTCGAGCAAAGGGCACTGTTTCCAAGCCAACTCCTACTCCAGAGAATGAGAAGCCTATTCCTCCAGAGCCCAAAAAGAGAGCTAATAGGAAAGCATCTATTGCAAGTTTAGAAAAAGATGTGGAGCCAATGTTTGACCTAAAACAGTCTATGCTGAGGGAGAATAATGAAGACCAAAAGGACATCCAACTTGCAAGGTTTATGGAGAAAGATGTTGCACAGAATGTAACTCAACTGGAGGGGCACAAGGAGAAAGACACTGAGGTGTACAAGGAGGTTGACAAGACAATGAGACCTAGGGAGGACTATGGGGTTGATAGAGAGGCGGAAGAGCCACCAATGCCTTTGGAAACAGAGAGAGAAGTTTTCATGGAGACAAGACTTCAAGGAAGGAAGTTAGAGAGTCACTCAAACAGAATTCTGGGAGACACTGTACTTGAACAAAAGAAACAGCCACTAATATGTCTCGAAAAGGCACATGAAGTTGAACAGGGGTCAAAACAACTAGGAAAGCCATCAGAGAAAAGCAGTGAAGTTGAAAGGAAGGAAACCTTTTCAGGAACAGAGCTGTGGAAAAACAGTGTGGATGAAAAACAGTCTGTGAAACCACTAGAGAAGTTAATGGGGAAAGAAACAATGAAGGAACAAGAGAAGTCTACAGTAAAGGTGGGTGAAGTAGACAAAATAGAAGAGGAACCTTTTAAACCACCAGTAAGAACTAAAGGAAAGGTAACAGGGGGTAAGGAACCACTTAAATATGTTCCAAAGGAAACTGAGGATATCAGTATCCAATCAATAAAGCCTTCTGTAAATGATTCTGAAGATGACCGTAAACAGAGAGACGATTTGAAACAGAAAGTGTCTACAGAGGACAAACAGTCACTAGAAAAAACTGAAAAAACTTTAGAAAAAGAGGCTGAATTCACCCCTCCAAAACCACCTATAAGGATAAAAAGCAAAGCAAAGGGGGGAATGGAAAAGCAATATTCAAGGGACACAGAGACAGATCAGGACGATCAACAAACGACAAGGGTTGTGGTGAAAACATCAGATGCTCAGCCAATTAAGCAGTCAATTGGGCCTTTGAAAAAAGAGGTTGAAGTGAAACCAAGATCCGCGAGGAAACAATCAGTAACAACAGACTCTGAGATAGATGAGAAAATTAAGCAACCGGTGAAAGCTGCAGAGAAGGGCGCGAACGTCAAACAGCCATTCAAAAAACCAGTGAAACCCATGAGGAAAGAACCTGAAGTGGAACAGGAAATTAAACTGGCGGTTGAGCCAAGGAGAAGGGAGGAAGAACAGCAAATAAAGATGACAGAAGAGATTCCTCTGCTCTACATTTCTGAAGATGAAACTTTCTCAGAGGCTTTGACTGAGATGCCAGCGATCCTAAGGAATGTCCAGTCCCCTGGTTCTTCTGTTGACCAAACCTTTACTCTTCCTCCAGTTATTGTACCCCAGAGGGCCCAACAAGCAAAGGATGCTACACCAGAGATTGACATCAACATTGAGGATGAACCACAACTGCAAGAAGCTGCGGTCAAGATCCAAGCTGCCTTCAAAGGCTACAAAACGCGCAAAGACATGCGACCTGTCTTTAAAGAGGTGTTTAAGAACCAGAATGCAGATCTTCATAGTACAGTCAGTCTAGTGTGCACTGTAGAGGGAAAACCCAGCGCAGTGCGCTGGCTGAAAAACGGCCAACAAATCACTAATGACCATCGATTTCGAATTCAGACTACAGAGAGTGGCGTATGTACACTGGTAATCAAAAACCTGACAACCAGTGACAGTGGAATCTATACATGTGAGGTGGTGAATAAGTTTGGTGTGACCTCCTACAATGGAAACATTACCGTAGTACAGCCTCAGAAGCCCACTCCGATAGTCCAGAAGCCTGTACACCCACCCCTTGCAGCCATAACTCCTTTGCAACTCGCCCAGCCAAAGCCTGAGGCCCAGGCCAAAACACAGGCTCAGAATCTTCCTGAGGCTCAAATCCAGATACCCACTACAGCTACAGATGCTGCAAACTATGTAGAAAGTGTGAGTGTCTCTTTGTGGGAGGCCTACAACATGACGGAGCAGCAGGATGCTCCGAAGAGACTGAAAGAGAGGAGAGGATCTTCAATCATTGCTGCCAGCTCAAGTGAGTAACATGTTTATTCACTGTAATCACTAAAAATTAGATTTTCTTGGCCCTATTATCACAGTATAATACATATGATTTTATGCTTTCAACAGTGTCGAGTCCCTCTGATTATGACACAGCTCCGGATATGATGGAACCTGTTGAGACGGGCCCAGCTGTACCAAGGTGAGAGGGCAGGGAGAAGATTACATTTTTATTGCTAATCTTTTATATTAAGCTCATAAAAATACCCAAAATATTTATGAATACTGTTACAGGGAAGTGACAAAAGCAGCAGAGCAAGTTCCTGTAAAAGATGATAAGGAACAGAAAGCTCCTCTACAGCCTCCTAAAAAACTACTGAAAATCAAAGGTCAGCAATGTTTTTTTTTTCACGGCTGTTTTCAATTGATCTTCACTAGTTCTTATTAGGTTTCATAACAAGTACAACATAGATATCTTCCCCTCTAATTTGTAGGAGCTCATGAAGGTAGACTGAGGACACCATCTCCTAAACACCACCGTGCTCACACACCCTTAACTAGTACTGTTTCTGGATCTGAGTCAGATGGAGAAGAAGATAGACGAGAGGTACTTTTGTAAATATTCATGTAATAAATGTGATTTAATTTAGTTACAATCTGTAAAAGTAATATTTCCCATTTGAGTGTATAAACTTTAAAGTATGTGTTTGCTTTTTTCACCCCAGACATTTGAAATGTATGTGGCTCGAGCTGACTGCAGTCCCATCAGTGGAAATAGGGACAGTTTTATTCTGAAGGAAGGTCAGTTTATAGAGGTCCTGGATTCTGTTCATCCTGACAGATGGTTGGTGAGGACCAAACCCACCAAAACCAACCCTGCTCGACAGGGATGGATGTGTCCAGCCTACCTGGAGAAGAAGAGAAAGGTACAATGTATACATCCAAACATGTTCTGAAACAATGATAATATACTGTTAGTTTGCAATGTTGTACTGTCAATAACAATAAGAAATGAAAAGGATTTTATTAAAATACATAATGGTCTTTCCGACAGGAGACCCTCCCACAATTGAGAGCGCCTCAAGAGGATCTTGATGGAATTGGGTCCACAGGAGAAGAGTACAGGAGAGCTCTGAGGTCTGTCATTCTCTATTATATACTGACAGATTCAACAAACAGGGAGGGATGTGCACTATTATTTGGATTTATATGTATTGTTATTGGACACATGCATTTGCGTAATTAATGTTTGTTGTAAAACTGTACATATCTTTATTATTATTTCTACTATTTGGTTATTTCTTGCACTTATGTGATGATGGAAAACCCTTCCAGTCTGCATTAAATTATCTTAATCTTCAGCCAACTGATCCAAGGCCTGATTGATGGAGAAGAGGAGTTTGTAAAGGAGATGAAGATGTTCACCTCTCAACAGCTAAATTATTTGGACTCCAGCCACCACATCCCCATTAACATCCTCAACCAAAAAGAGATCATTTTCAGGAATATCAAGGACATTGTGTTTTTGCATGAGAGGTAATGACATCCACAAGAAATACACTGTACTCATGTATAATATGCAACTGAATATGCAAATAAATAATAAAATGTCTTCTCAGGTCCCTCCTTCCCGGTCTGAGAGAGTGTGCCACAGACGACGATGTGGCCATGCATCTGATCAAGCACAATGAGGACTTTGAGAAGTATCTTCACTACATGGTTGGACAAGCACAAGCAGAGGCCTGCCTTAACGACAAGACTATCCAACTGTATTTCAAGGTATCCACAAAATCTGTTTTAATTTAAACATGAACACTAACATGAAAAATGCCTAATATCAACTTTATTACACTGATTTAATGTTCTTTATTTCTTTAATATGTTGCTCATTACACTTCAGGAGTTAACAGAATCTGGTAAGCCTGAGGCTCCTGTCATGGATGTCCTTACCTTCCTCCAGCGACCAGTGGAGAGGATTCAAACCTACCAGGCTTTACTGAAGGTCAGCATACAGTTTATTTTATGTGTCTGAAACCTTAAACATTAATGTCAGCGTGATAGTGGCAATTATTCATAACTAAAGACTAAAAAGTATATTTAAATTCAACTTGTATTATTTCAACAAAAGGATTTAAGCTTGTCCTACTGTTGTTCATTAAAAGTGTGTGAGCTGAACTCATGGGATGTAAATAAATATGCTTTTGGCAGGAGCTAATCAAGAACAAAGCCAAAAGTGGCCAGAGCTGCTGTCTTTTGGAGGATGCCTTCTCCATGGTGTCCTGTCTACCATGGAGGTCTGACAACATGCACCAGGTGTCCCTGATTGAGAACTACCCAGCTCCTCTAACTGCACTGGGCGAGCCTGTGCGACAGGTAACTACAGATGACTGGCTCATTTCAGTTTTTGTCACAACTACTAATAATGCTGTGAGAAGAAGTTGACAGACTTAAGTGTTTTTTTGTTTTTTATGAGCTGAAATGACTCGGTTTTACCAGAAAAGACGAATAACTAACTGTTCCATAATACGGACTAAAAAGTATATCTTCATAAACATTCACTCAGATAGAAACACATCAAGTCACATATGGTCATCTTACTGTTTGGTCCTCACTTCAGGGAGTCTTCACAGTGTGGGAGGAAACTCCAGAAATTAAGACGTCCTCTAGAGGGCATCAGAGACAAGTCTTTCTCTTCAAGGAATGCATTGTACTGTGTAAACTGAAAAGAGACACCAGTATGAACAGTGACACCTACACATTCAAGAACAAAATGAAGGTAAGATCTGTTCTGCTTTCTTACTTATTCTTCCTCCCAACAGTAGGTGAAGCCACATGAAAACTAAGCTGTTTAATGCCACATTTGGCCACATGTGATGACAATTCCTAAACTGACTCCTGACTTCATCTTCCCACTCACTTGTCTTTCCCATTCCTCACCTGTGCAACCTACCCAGCTGAATGATGTGGAAATAAAGGAGACTGTGGGTGGAGATGAAAAGTCTTGGGGGTTGTGGCACGAGCACAGGGGTTCATTGCGGAGGTACACACTGCAGGGCCGCTCCTCCCTGGTTAAACTCTCATGGCTGAAAGACCTGAAAGAGCTACAGCAAATGTCCAGCCTGCCAACTAACAGTAAGTGTTTCTTTGGGAAGGGAATTAGATTTTGACAATGAATCACAACACTATCTGTGTTTGTGTCTATCAACAGGCCCACCAGTGTTTGAGTCACTGCTGTCTGACTGCACAACAAAGATAGGACAGACAATCAAACTAACCTGTAAAGTCACAGGATCGCCAAAACCAGTGATCAGCTGGCTCAAAGGTCAGAAAAAACTAATTAAAATATGTATATACTGTATAAATGTACCATAGTGTTACAGTATCTGTAAGAAGCAGGTATCATCCACTTTTTGGATACAGTGCTTACAAATCTGTTGTCCACCTCTTAGATGGCCTTCCTTTAGAGGATGACCCCCGTCACATCATCACAACAGACCGTTCAGGCACCTGCAGTCTCATTCTGGATAGTCTCACTGCAGAGGACTCTGGGCAGTATGCCTGCTATGCTAACAGCTCCATGGGTAGTGCTGGCACTCTGGCTAAGGTTGCAGTGCAGGGTGAGTCTGTGGATGCATCTAAACCACTTGAGTGTTGTCTCAGTCCAGAGCCATGTCTGTGTTTGTAGGTGAATACATGTACTGTCACAGAGGGACACAGGACATATATACTATGACTGTACTTCATCATATTAGTACTATGGTTACAATTTAATTATAAACCTACAAACTACTACTACTATTGTTTAGTATGAGTTATTGTGCCAAAACTACTACTAGCAGTTCCAACTTTAAAACTACTATTACCAGTGCTAGTTCTACTGCTTGTGCAGCTACTATTACTAAACGTTTATCACTAGTAGTACCACTATGATTACAGTTATCACACTTAATATTATTGTTGTTAATAGAACTACTACTACTGCTTCTGTAGTTTCTAATTTCGACCTACTAATACAATCATCAATACCCCAACTGCAGTTACTACTACCATTGCTAGTACTGTTACAGCTGCTATTACATTCATGATTGTGACAGCTACTTCTATTAGATCTACTACTACTACATCTACCACTATTAGTCTATGCCTACTTATAAGGGCACTGATGACACTTTAATGTATTTATTCTTCTCTCCAGCTCCACCCAGATTTGTGTGTCGGTTAGAGAGTGCTTGTCTGATAGAAGGAGAAGATATACAGTTTACCTGCTCCACACTGACTACTCCTTTACCACGAATCAGGTCTGTCAGCACCGCGAAAATGTGACCACAATAGTTGCTAGATGATTTTTTGGTCATTGTGTGTTGTCAAACACATCCCTCTTTGGGTTTGGCAGGTGGTTGAAAGATGGCAGAGAGTTAACTGACCAGCAAAAGTACTCCATCCTGAATGATGCTCGTAGTGGGATCTTGTGTCTGACGGTGATCAGTGCAACCGAGGCAGATATCGGACAGTATGAGTGTGAGGTATAAAACCCATATCCATAAAGTCTACCATGTATCAAGACATCAAGTTAGTATTATCTTTCTTTAAGATTCAAATGTTTTGTTTTGTTTAGCTCTGGAATGAGTTTGGCTGTGTCAAGTGTAAAGCAGGGCTGTGCCCCGCTTATGTACTCCCGATTGAGATTGAGAACGACCAACCACAGGACTTACCTCCTAAAGGTAGGCTGGCCAGACCTGCCGAAGGTAAATATCCTTCACACACAATGGAAACCCTCAATAAGGTTTTCATGTGGACACTTTCACTAGTTCAGCTGTGTTTGAGAAGGGATGAAGCACATGCCATTTTCCAGTTTACTCCAAGTTCACCTCACCTTTGATCCTGTCACTGTTTTTGCATCACATCATATGACATCTCTTCACAACAAACTGCAACAATTTCCACTTTCAACCACTACCATTCATTCATTCTATCCAGGTGATGGTCATTTTGAGATTTTACTCACATTTTCCTTTTTCCCATTTCACACACACTCACATCATAAGTAGTTCCGACTACCATACCAGTTGTCACTAGATCCCTAGGGATTATGGCATGGGCTGCTGTCTGTGCATGAATGCCAAACAGATTTCCATCAGCAAAGTGCAGTAAATGTGGATTCACAACTATTAACTGTATTACATGGTGGTATGCATTAGCTAAAAGCACACCTATACTGTTTTTTTTTTTTCATTTCTCAGTTTTCTATTTCTGAAATTGCCATTTGAGTTAAGTGATTGTCAAGGTTGACTTAAAAGGCAGCATGTGATGACTAATACATACTTCCTAAGTGCACGATGTATACATCTGCTATAACCCTACCGCTATAATGACCTTAATCACATTAAACCGATTCTTAAACATAACCATCTCTCACCTAATCCATGTACCGATTGTAACTTTTGCACTTTGGTCTTGAACATGTTTCACCGGTCACTTCATCTGTTTGTCTGACTAGTGGTGAGTCACACTGTCACTTCTGTGTGTAGTTCACACTTTGAGCGTTGTTAAGTCATGTGAGAGAATCCTCAGACTTACCAATAACTATTTCTAACAACCTTTTATTGCCATGACCCAGCAGGATCTAGTGGCTACCATACAACATAAACACCATACTGCACTTCCCAGCATCTTCACCCATGAAAAGACATTGATACATTTATTGTATGGAATGTTTTTGTGTTTTTCATCATGTTCTCCCTCAATGTTTCCACTTTCCACAGAGGGCATGAGTTGGAAGAGACTAGATTATTTTCCTCCACTACGAGTGACACTAGGACCCAAAAGTCAGCAAGACCTTGAGGTGCCATAAACTACCAGCAGTAATTTAAATACAGAGATAGCAAGTACCCCTGTTACTGTTCTATATTATGAAGGGATTTTCCAGCTGTGCTTGTATTTATTTATTTGCCACTGTTAATATTACATAGGGTCAGCAATGTCAGCAATAAAAGAAGTATAATAGAGTAGAATAATTCAGCTACATTCAATGAAATGATTAGATGTTGATGAAAACGTACAGTAAGTTCGACATATAATATTCTTTATATGGACTATAGCTGTCTCACTCACTGGTGTATTTGTTTTCTGGAGTTTTGCCACCGGTTCACCATATTTGCCCTTCCATTGTCCATAACCTACATGTTTTTTCCATCTTCCTTATACTAGTCCTAAAGCAGGAAGTTCCTCACATGGACCGTTCCATGTAAGTCATCATTGTCATAATAACAAATAACCACTTGGCATTCCCCTTTCTCCTCCTGCCAACGCATGCCCAGCTAACTCTTCACTCCTACGAACACAAGATGGTCATGTGCTGGGCAGGTGTCCCCTTTACCTCCAAGCAGGAGTGGGCATGCGCCCATGTCTTGTTGATGTGTTGGGTTAGTGGGGTTAAACCCTCAAGTACTGAGGTAAGGAATGCATTATTACTGCTCCTGGTATGTAAGGTAATGTACTTTTTCACTTTTCATTTTCCAATAATTCAGTATACTAGTGGTGCAGTCAAGGCAACAACAATAATTCCTTAAAATATATGAAAAAAATACATAATTTATTTTAAGTGTCTGAACCATAAATTCCTGCTGAGTGGCATTTTGGTTTTTATAGATGCAGACTCAGAGGGCTGGTCCACTGCATTTGTGAAGAAATGGTTGCAGACTGATTTCAGCCCCACTTCTATTGCAAAGATGCTCTTCCCTCCCGGACATCCGGAACAGTAGGTTTTGCACCACCAACTATACTTCTATATTAACCTCCATCACCTTCATTTGAAGTAAATAGGTATCAAGCTTTAAACTGGTAAATTTAGTCTGTGTTTGGTTAAAGTCTCGATTTAATACTTTAACAATTGTGAGATTAGAACTTGATGGTAAATTATAATATAATATAATAAATTATAATTTAAATCTTAGCATCCATTAAAGAGTTTGGTGAATAGATAATTACCCTGGACTGATCAGTAGTATTTGATAATCAGCTTTTCCTTTTATCTTATCTTTGCCTCCAGAGCTGAGTGTAGTACTGAAGAGGCTGTTACTGCCTCCACATCCATGGGTCATCCAGAACAGCAGCCTCTGCGTTACCTAGAGGATGAAGAGGAAGAGATCTACATCTCAGAGTCAATGCAGGAAATTACAGATGGTAGTCTTGTATTCTAAGCATTAGAGTTTGACTTCTGCCAAAGTTTGTGTGATTAGTGACTGATCTGATCTCCTCTTCAGCTCCTCCCTCCATCCAAGTACCTGCTGAGGACCTGTGTGTTGAGCCTGGCCAACCAGCTACATTTACTGCCATTATCACAGGAAGACCTACTCCTAAGATACAGTGGTACAAGGTAAGAGCACTGTAGATCAGTGGTTCCCTGCTGAAGGGTTGATTTTGATATACCATATAGTTTACTTTTGTATATACTGTTTTATATTCAACCAGGGAAACATACCAAAATGGATACCATAAATGGCACCGATTTAAAAAAAATATGTCTGTTGATATTAAATCTTTTTTTCTCTCTGTAATTTGTGTTTTTTTTCATGTAAAATAGTCTGAGAATGAATAAAGCATAAAGATGTTTACTGTTAAACACAAGACAACATTTTGACCAGAATTGACCTATTAAAACGTTACTCTTTGCTCTGTGATTGGAGGATGGAGAGCTGCTTGCAGCCAATGAGAATGTGGAAATGATACAGCATGGTGCCCGCTGCTCAGCAACCATAGTGTGCCCTGAGGGTGAGGACAGTGGCATATACACCTGCTTCGCCTACAATGACTCTGGCCATGCTTCGTGTCAGGCTCAGCTGACAGTGGATGAAGGTGAGAAAACAGCAGTGCTGCCATGCATCGTTATTTTAGTTGTATAGATATTGTTTAATTTATCAGATCTAACTGCAAACCTATACCAAAGGCTAATGGTCAACGAAGCTTAGGTGTAAAACATGTCACAAAATCCTATTGTTGTAAGGAATATATTTTGACTGATGTTGGTCCAAGTGGTGGACCTGTTTTATTCATAGGTTTTGTTTTCTCTGTAGGTCCACTGGAGCGGCAGGAGAGAGAGGTAGAACTGGGAAAGAGAAGGAAGTTATTCTCTGTCTATGATGTCCACGAGGAAATGGGAAGGTAAACCTGTACTTCATATTTATGTAGTCCACCTGCCCATTAGCCCTGTTAAGATTTGATGTCATCAACATTATTTCTTTGCGTTTTAGGGGAACCTTTGGGGTCGTGAAGCGTGTAGTCCACAGAAGGACAGGTGAAGTGTTTGCTGCCAAGTTTCTGCCATTGCGGAGCAGCACTCGGACCAGGGCCTTCCAGGAGAGGGACTTGCTATCCCGTCTGGCTCACCCCAGAGTGGCCTGTCTGCTGGACTTCTTTTGCACCAGACGCACTCTGGTGCTGATCACAGAAATGTATCCTGCAAACCCCTGTAAAATGTTCACTCCTTTTTCCTCACAGTGGCAGTTTGTTGGTATTCAGTTAAGAGTTCTTTAACACTATTTCTAGGTGCTGTTCTCATGGACTTCTGGACCATTTATTACTGAAAGGATCAGTCACAGAGAGAGAGGTACAAGCTTATTCCCTACAAAAACATATTTTTCTTATTATTTACTTATTTCTAAGTATTTATGGCTCTTGATTAATATTCTTAATTTTATTTTAGGTTCAGTCGTACATCCAGCAAATCCTTGAAGGAGTTGGTCACATTCACAGCATGAACATTTTACATCTGGACATTAAAGTGAGTTTTCTGGTCCAGTCAACATTGCATTATTGACTGTGCCATTATTTTTTGTGCAGTTCTTAACTTCATTGTTATTTACACTCCCTTCAGCCTGATAATATCCTAATGGTGTATCCGCCCCGAGATGAGATCAAGATCTGTGACTTTGGCTTCTGCCAAGAAATAGACACCTCCAGACACCAATACAGTATGATTGGTACACCAGAGTTTGTTGCCCCTGAGATTGTTCACCTAGAGCCGGTAACTGTGGCCACTGATATTTGGTGAGTTTAAGTAGGAGTTAAGAAGTTCTCCCTGATGAATTTCCAGATGTTGTGGACCATTTTTTATTACAAGTATTACACAGATATTTGAATAGAAGCAAAAATGTATACCAAACTGTGTACAGACTAAAATAACATTACAATAATATTTTCTATTTTCTCTCTCAGGTCTGTAGGTGTTATAGCCTACATATGGTATGTATTCCTGTAATTTTGGTGATATTCTCAAATCTCCAATACAGTATATCCAAAAGCATACGATTCCTGAGTTTCTGTCGACTATTTACATCACACTTTACCTTTATCTTGACAGTCTGGTGTGCCGATGCCCTTTTGCGGGTGAGACGGATCGTGCTACTCTGCTTAGGGTGGGGGAGGGCACCCTGAACTGGGATGCCCCTGATGTCACGTACAGGAGCCCGGAGGCCCAGAACTTTCTCCACATGCTCCTTCAGCCAGATCCAGAGTAGGGAACCTGTTTTCTTATTGCTCACACTGTCAATCAATCCAGTCCAGTGACAAAAGAGTGACATTGCCATTTCTAATTCCACAAGTAACCCATAAATAAATATAACCCAATAATTCAAAAAAAAATTTAAAAATGCATAAAACTACATTTACCAGGCTGATAATTCTCTGTGGCTGTGGTGGCACTCCTTTCACATTAGAGTCATTCGTATTCAATGTAAATAAAAAAAATATTGTCAGTACAGGTGCAACATAGCTGACCACTCCAAATCCTTTCCTTTCCTCTACCTAGGAAGCGACCATCTGCCTTTGAGTGCTTGAGCCACGAATGGCTTCAGGTATGAGGCACATCAAGTGTTTTAATTAAGCTTTACTGTATTCAAAAACTATAACTTAGGCACAAATCTAAACATACATCTTTGTATCTGTGTTCAGGATGCACATGCAGGAGAAGACACAGATGAAATAAACACAAGGAGTTTGAAAGCCTTCATCTCAAAAAGGAAATGGCAGGTGAGTTACCTCTCTTGTCCTGTGTTATTCATTGAACCCACAACCTCTGGGGGGCAAAGGCAGTACTTGTCATTTTGAAGTTAAATGATTACGTGAGTTGAATTCACTGTACATTATATAATTCCCTTAAAATAAAACACATCTCTTCACCAGTAGCTTTCTCATCTATCCTCCAGCGTTCTTTGACTTGTATTGGGTCAGTTCTCACGTTGAGGCCCCTACCTGAGCTGCTGGACGCTCCTCTCAGAGACACTGCAGTGACAGTACCCCGCGAGCCCCGGGAACACAGCAGCACCTCTATGAGCAGTGGCTCCTCATCTGAGTATGATGAAGCTGACTCTTGGGACTTTTTCCAGCACTGCAGTCAGACTGAAGAGGAGGAAGAAACCGAGGAGGACTACGATCCTTTAATGGAGAGAGCACAGATCCCCGAGCCTTTTGCCAGACTCCACCTAGATGCAGAGGAGGAAGAGGAAGTGACATTAGGGGAGGAAGAGGATGGGGAGATGGTAGGAAGGAGGAGTGTACTAGAGCGGAGTCTGAGCAGGCAGTCAGTTGCGTCATCAGATATGTCGTGCCAACAGACACCTCAGAGGGAGCGTAGGTTCAGCAAGGACAGTAGTCCATCTCTCTACCTATCTGATGGGGATGAGGGTTCGGGAAGTGATGGAGGTCGTATCCCTCGAGGTAGCGTCATTCGGAGCACTTTCTACAGCACCTCCCATCAGCTGTCACCCATGTCTGCCAGACACATGACATTACGGGACAAATTCCAGGCCAAAAAGCAGGAGAGAGGCCGTAAACCACTCCGGAGAAGCTTTTCAGGACGTCTCAATGAGCCTCTTATTGAATATGTGGAGGATGAGACAGAGACCAATCGTGGCCAGAGACGGGGATCTGTCCAGCCTACCATGCAGAAGTCCTGTTCCTTTGACAGTGGCGTTGGCCTCGCCCACACCAATGTACCCCCTCACAGGAGGAGCAGGTCTCTTGATGAGTATTCTCGTCGATCTCCCAGCTCACCCAAACGCACAAAGTCAGGTGAAGAAGAAGGCTCTCAAAGTCTGAAGGAAGATTTCACAGATGATGAAGTGGCGGGGAGAAACTCACTGGCCATCCCGACCCCTCGGCGACCCACAAGGAGAAGAGGCTCTGTCGCTGCGATACAAGGGGCCTGCATGCTGGGTGGATCAACTGTTCCCTCAAGCCTCCTTGCTGGAGACAGAATGGGGCTGGATCGGGAGCAGACACATGGCGACACATTGGCTGGCTCCCAGGGTTCTCTGGCCGAATCGTCTATTTTGGGGCATGGTGGCTCAGACTCTTCAAGTAGACTCGGCTCCTGTGAGGAGCTTACTCGGGGTCATCTCAGAGGAAGGTCAGGAGAGAGTGAAGGATATGATGATCGGGGGGAGCCTCTGATTTCACCATCCCCATGTTCTTTCCACGAAGTGAAACCCAGAAGCTCGTTTCCCCAGGCACCACCGCGTAACCGTACCCGCTCCAACCCCAACTTATCTGGCAGAGGTCAACCAGGGACTCCATTAACAGCGAGCCCCAGTCCCAGCCTCTCTTCTCTTCAGGCTCCAGAGAGGCCGCCCAGGGCCAGGGACAAGAAGGAGGGCTATGGCCTCCAGAGGCATGCATCTGCTCCAGCCCTCGAAGCCCGGCCACCTACGGGAAAGTCACCTAAGCTGGGACTGCTGAAGATCTTCCGCAGGCAGTCCTGGACCGGCCATTCGTACTCCCAGCTGGAGAACGCAGAGTTAGGACCCACGCTAGGAGAGATCATGAAGCCAGATACCCCCACCATGTCTCTGAGGAAGAAAATGAGAGCTTCAGCCTCCAGCTTGACCAAACTGTTTTCCAGGTCTTCTAGTAAGGAGGATGTTAGTAAAGGAGGTGAGCTACTGCAAATTAAGCCAATTTTATTTTATCATTAAACAGAAAATTATGTCAATCAGCAACAATATTGAGGAGAAAAACTGTAGAAAAATACATTATCCAAGCGCATTATTTCTTTAATTTAGTTAAATATTGTACATCTACCCTTTACATTTGACAGTAATTTTATACAATCAAATCTTTTTTGTGTTGTTTTTCTTTTATAACAGGACCAATAGTAAAAGGATCAGCTCCCGTCCCACCTGAAAGAGAGTGTAGCACTGGTCTTGAGAGTCCAAAAAAGAGAACATCCAAACTCTTGCCTTCTTTTAAAATACCCACATTCAAGAAGACAAAAGGTAGTGAATAAACTATATTCTGTGGATTATGTCTGAAATGGTCTGAAATCCTATCATCATTTTGCTAAAAGCCTGGTTGTTTTTTCTGCTCCATCATTTTCAGATGTGCCGGTCCGTCCCAACAAAGCTGAAGTGCTCCAGTTAGAGGGAGGTGGAGTCCTACTGGTTTGGAGACCAGTCCAGTCTAGCGACCCTGTCACCTACTGTGTGCAGTATTGTACAGATGGTGGGTTCATAGAGATGATACAGCTGCACAGAAATTAAATTAGTGGTTTTTGTTAAAAGAAAACCAAATTAGTCTACACAAAAATTCTGATTACTACAATTTAAGCAGTCAATACTGAATTTATTGTAGGTTGTCGTTCCACACTAAGAAATACCAAATTATATCTCATCAGGCTTGTGCAGTAAAAAACACTACCCCTGTAGTGTGACTGTTTTGGCTTTGAAGACTAGTTCTGTAAGACTAGACTAGTGTGCTTGCAAGGCACAGTATTATTCTTATCCTGGCACAGTGTATTTGAAGACAAAACAATGTTAAACTGGGTTTTTTCTGCGTCTTGCCAACTGACACTGGCTACTTCCCAGTAAGTTTTATCACGGCTGTATGCTTCTTTTGTTCTTTCAAATTGATGTCAGACATTTTATTTCCTACACAACAACATCACTAATATTACTGCTTAAATCTACTGCAAGCACATTCAAATGTGTAGATTTTACAGTGAAACTCATGTGTCGTGTGCCTCCTTAGGTGGGCAATGGACGGTCCTGTCAGAGGAGGTGACAGACAGCTGCTATGTGGTGAAGGATTTACCCAGAGGAGCTTCTTATGTGTTCAGGGTGGGCTGCATCACCAAGACAGGAGCAGGACCTTTCAGTGAAGCATCAGCACCTGTTGTTATGGCTACTCATCCTGAAGGCAAAAACAATACTCTCAAACATGACATTGCATGTTCGCTGTTGCACATTTGTGATCTCATTCATTCATTTTTCACTGGTTTTTTTTACTGGTTTTTTTTATTATCTGAGACCAGGTTTTGTAAATGTAGCAGGAATTTGGCTCACTGGTTTGGAGTGTTTAACATACAGATTTACATTAATGTACGGACAGCTACTACATGGAGGGTTGCAGTATTTTCACCTGAATTTAATCTTTTGTGCAGAGACTCACATTCCTCTCATCCAGACTAAGTCACTGGGGTCAAAGGTCATTGGCTCTGAGCAACAGACAACACAGAAGAACTACAGTTTCCTCTCTGAGATCAACAGGTAGGATTTTTATGAATACACTTTTTTTACTGTAGTATTTACTTCTGTTTGCACATAATCGTGTTTTCAATTTGAAACACAGGTGTGACTTTTTAGGTTTTTTAAGTCTGTCACACATTGTGATATTTCTGAATTGAACCTGTATTGATATTCACCATTTTCAATCTTCTTTTACCCTTAATGTTAAAAAAAGATTAATTTTTGAGGTGTACATCATCATCCTTTCTTTATCTGCCTATTCCCTGTCACAGGAGATGCATTGGGAAAAGGATAGTTTCATCTCCTTCATCCCCCTTTCTCTTAGGCACCAATTTGCCATAAACTATGGCCGTTCTCTGTACCTCTTCATCTTTTATTTGATTCTCTCTCAGGGGTCGTTTCAGTGTAATAACCCTGTGCAGGGATGTTGAGACCAGCCAAGTGTTTGCTGCCAAGATCACCCCTTACCAGGCACAGCAGAGACAGTTAGTGCTGAGGGAATACCAGCTGCTGAGGAGGCTTCATCATCCCCACCTGGTGCAGCTGCACACTGCCTACATCACCACCTGCTACCTGGTGTTAGTGGAGGAGCTCTGTCCGGGCAAGGAGCTGCTCTACAGTCTAGCAGTGAGGTAAAGGAAGGCTTGAGAAACATAAGACAAGGACCAGATAGCTTGTGTATGAATTTATACACAAAAAGACAATATTAAGAATCCATTTTGGAAAAAATGCTGTGATATATTTCGGATATAATTGTTTATTTTATCAAAAATGTCTTTGTTTTATGCATGTGTCATTTTTGCCATGCTACCAGATGTCAATGTGAATAGGTAGGTGGATCTGTCTGTCAAACACTTTGTTCCAAAGTGTTGTCTAGATATTAATGGTTTTTGGAGGATGATTTCCTTATTATCGTGGTGAGTCTCAGTCCTTTGGTCTAGTAGTTCTCTTTATCAGATACTTATTTTGTCCTAAGGTGCCTTTAGGAGAAATAATCCTGGCAGAACTGATCACTATGTAATTCCAAAATAAGACGCTCTAGTTAGTCTAAGAAGACAGGAAAAAACTAAAATAAGCAACAGAATTCCGATGACAAATGCTGCTCTAATTGGGGCTCATATTAGTTGTTAGAGAGAATGAGTTAATGTCATCTAATGGACAATGTTGATGTAATTTTAACATACTATTTCAGTGGTTTTGAGATCACCTACACAAATCCAACTATACACCAATTGCAGATGATTGAGATGAGCCTAGAGGACACTTAACTGTAACTAATCACTGTAATGTCTTTATATAATTATTATCTGTAGCCAAGATTATTTTTGTGCAACCTGTAGCCATTTGTGGCAGTCCCTCCGTACTGTGGTTAAGCTTAACAAACCCATCTGTCTGTGTTTGTTCTCTGTCAGAGATCTGTACGCAGAGACTCATGTCGCAGAGCTGCTGGTTCAGATTCTGAGTGCAGTCGACTACCTTCACAGCCGTCGGGTCATCCACCTGGACCTGAAGTCTGACAACATGCTGGTTGATGACTGTAACCACCTGAAGCTAGTTGACCTGGGCTCGGCTCAGTCCTTCACACCCGGTCAACCTCTCAACATCGAGCACATCCATGGCCTGTCAGAGAGCAAAGGTACCGATGTAATTCTTGCTTCATTTCAAAAGGCAAACTAAAAGATTCTGATGCTTGCATTGTTGCAGATTCTTCTAATGTACTAAACCTCTGACTATCATGGCCTCAACAGACTGCCGCAGCAAAGGTACACATTCTTTAAGGGAGGACGGATTGATGGATGGAAATAATTCAGCCTAACTTCATCCACCTCAGCTGATCCTTGCTACCATAGCCTAACAAACCCAAGTCCATTCTTATTTTTATACTTCAATCCATTTCTTTTTGGTTTGACTCATTTTCCTTATTTGGAAAATAAAGCATGTGAGTGAATGTGGCATTGCTCGTAACAGCAAGTCTTTAAGAAAAATATCTCGTGTCTGTCTGTTTTGTCAGTTTATATTGTGCTTCCTAAAGCTCCGGAAATCCTGGAAGGTCAGGGTGTCGGGCCTGAGACTGACGTCTGGGCTATTGGAGTTCTCTTATTCATCATGTAAGTAGAGCTTCAGTAAAGGTCGAATAGTTGAATATTGTATAAAACCATGTTTGTTTTATTAAAATCTTTCTACTTTACACTTTACATTTAAAAAAATGTTTTATTGTGATTTGATAAATGTGGTTACGTATCAGAACAAAGTCAAAGTGTTCTTTCTTTAAATAATATTCTGTTTCATTATGTAAGTTTTAGTTTTGGTTATGTAGGCTGATTAGTTCAGTCCTTGGATAATGAAATGTTAATGCTACCGTCCGACTCTTCTGTACTTCTGAGATATGCTGTATGTATTTTTGTATAATGTATCTTCTGTGTCTTTTTTTTTTCTCTTTGCCTTCACTAGGCTGAGTGCCGACAGCCCGTTCCATGCAGAGCTCAGCTGGGAGCAAGACAGGAATATCAAAAAAGGGAAGATTCAGTTTGGACGCTGTTACCCCGGTCTGTCAGAGGGAGCCTTAAACTTCATGAAGAGCAGCCTGAATAATAAATCCTGGTGAGTGTCTCTCTCTTTTTATTTAAACCAAACCAAATATTATTTGTGTAAAAGGTTGTATTAGTGAATTACGTTAATGTGTGTATCTTAACATGAATACAGGGGGAGACCCACTGCTGCCGAGTGTCTCCAGAACCCATGGCTGCGTGGCCATCGTGCCCCACACAAAGGCCGACACTCCAAAGTGTGTTTCTCCACAGACAAGCTTAAAGAATACCTCAAGCAGAAGGAGGAGAAACGAGACCAGGTCCGCACCAAGCTTCAAGGTCCCTTCTTCCAGTAAGGCAACACTGTGGGGGGTTTCTTCCACCAACTTTGCAGCTTTATAACCAGCACATTTAATTTCAGCTGAATGTTTCCTGTGTGGCTCTTTTCTGGCTAGCTGGAGCCAGGTCAGATTTTTAAATCATTTTAGAATCCATCAATTTTGAAAATGTGATGCGTCTTAATGAGTTTTCAGAGTGTTTCAAAGCGTATTTATCTGTTTGTATATGTGAGTGTGCTGCATTTTTTGCGCTTTGGTTTAAATGGAAACATATCAGGGATAAGGTTTAGTCTATGAGTTGTAAAAGAGAAACTGTTGCTTTGCACCTCAGTATCAGACAGATGCACGTTTGGCCTTAAAGTGAAAACTATTTTCTGTTTCTTCTTCACACAGAAAGCAGATATTTTTCTGAGTGATATATTTTATTTTGAAATGTACACGTTTTGCCTTAAAGATGCAATGTATAAATGGGAACTTGATTGGATTTACAGGTTTTATTAGATGCTTTTAAGTTTCATAATACTTAATACTTATATTATAAGTTAGTGAATGAAAGATTAATTAAATGGCACAAAAGTGGTCAGTCATTGTCCTCACATTCTTTATTCAGTCTCATTTGTATACAAACACACAAACATACATGCAAAGGTTGTAAATGTAACACATGCAGTGATTTTATCTCGGACTTCCTTCCTGTAATATTTAAATAATATGCAGCATGGGAGTAATTATTTAAATAACATAATATTAGTCAATATAAATCACCAATATTTTTGATAATATACCTAACTATGACTGAATTTATTTCTACTGCATTAGTATTCAACAAAACAAATAAATGAAAGTGGAACTATCTTCTGAAAAATGTCTCAACACTTTGCGGTGTGTGTACTAGGTACTGACTGGAGGTACTGATGTGTACTCCACACATGAGGGCAGGCCAGTGCCAAACTTTGGATTTCAAAGACCAAATGTGGAACATAATCTGGCCGTTGTACGTATTGTTTTTATTTTACCTGCCAGCTGAGCCGACAGTAATGTATGGATGAGGAGATTTCAACCATTAATTTGACTAAATCTAACACACACTCTAGCCCTGTTCTCTCAGTCAAGAACAAAAATCCCTCTTTTCCATCTGAGCACCATTCAGCATGAAACCTCTGACCACATAACATAGAGGGTAAAAGAAAAACAAACTTGTGTGTGTTTGTGTGAGTCACAAGTGTTGGTTCTTCTGTCCAGCAGCAGAAAGACTGGGTTACTGCTTCCCTCTTATGATTTGGCTTCCTGAACCTTTTGGATTTCCTGTACGAAGAGAGATGAGGGATTCTTTCACATTTAACCAAAGCTTCCATGCAACAGCTGCCAGACAATAGTAGCAAAGTTAAACAAATAAGGACATTTCCTGGTTTCACTCACTTCATTGAGGATGTCTTTCAGCTCCTCATAGGCCCTCTCTAAGTCATCGTTAATGATAACAACATCAAACACTCCAGGCTCCTTACCTAGAAAAGAGAATTGAATCAGATGCCATGTCTGTCTATATTTTGTGTCCAAGTAGAACTGCAGAGAAACTTACTGAGCTCCATGTCGATGCGTGCTGCCTCCAGGCGTTTCTGTAAACTCTCCTCTGTTTCCGTCTGCCTGTCCCTCAGACGTTTTTCCTGAGAAAGGGTATTTTTTTAAACAAGAGCTGATCCATCAAGTAACAAAACAGCAGTCATGTCTGCAGTTCACAAATTCCACAAAGTTGCATTTTTTTTCTTCATTTTTTATTCTTCTCAGACCAATTTGACCATTTTTTTAAAGGAGACTAAAGTATATAACAACAAAAAGCATTGAATAAATGTCATAAATTAGCACATCTGTCACTCTTCACAGCCTACTTTGCACGAACAAGGACAAAGCTTAATTGATAAAATAAGCCTAAAAGTGCATTGAAGTATTACAATATATTACATTAATGTAATATATTATGTTGGACATTTACCAGGATCTCCATGGAGGGAGGCTGGATGGAGATGTAGATAGGGTTCAGGTCAGTCTCTTTAATCCTCTTCACCCCCTGGATGTCCACATCTAAGATGCAGATTAGGTTCTGGGCCTGCACGTCTTCTATGGCGGCTTTACTGGAGAATCGATGCATTGTTACATTATAAAATTCTATCAGACAGGAGGTTTTTTTAAACAACCACCACTGCAAATTGACAGGCTTGACAATGTCCAACGAGAGTGTAATCATGTAATTTTGTGCTTCTCACACGTGGTGACTAAGGTAAGAGGATCACCGCATTGATCCAAGCTGCTCAGACTGTTACTGCAGTGAGTATGTGTGTGTTATCTTCAGAGTAAGAGGGAGAGATTAAACTTGACACGCAAGGTGCTGAGCCGCAGCGTTGCTCTTTTTGACGTAATGGGGTTAAAGCTCCATCTGTGACCAGACTATTATATATCCTCTTGATCCCTGTGGCTTTGCCTGGGGGTATTCTCTTATATAGGACAACAGTCTTAATTTCTGGTAAATTAAGTTAAACCGGTATTAGTGACAATTATAGCCTACTTTAATATATATTGTATTTTCACTCACATTAACAGATTTTCATTTTTGGAAAAGCTTCTGAAACAGCAGTTAGACACTGAAACTAGATGAGCAGCTTGCTAAGGCATTGTCACTAAAATGATCATTGAAACTGGAAAAAGCGATTATGCAAATACAGATGTTTTCTAAGGTTGCTCTTGATTATGCTGTGAAAATACACCGGTATTCACACAGAGATGCAAATATTTACCTCGTTCCATACATGTTCCCGGAAAACTCTGCGTTTTCGATGAAGTCTCCATTGTCAATGCCCTCCTGCATGGCCTCTTTCGTTGTGAAGTGGTAGTCTGCAAGACGCAACATGTATAATGAATCTAGCTCTGCCATGAAAGCTTTCACAATGGAAAGAAATGATTGAAGAGAGGTGATGAAATGAAAAGTCACTATAAATTAGTAAAAAATGAGACCGGTTTCATCACAATAAACAGTCAACATCACAGAGATCACAGAAAATCCAGGCACAAAGGCTAACCTTGTGGTGTACAACTGGTGGAAGATTATATTCAAGTGTATGATGTTCTCTTCTGAGCTAAATTTGAGACAGTTTGTTCAAATTGCAAAAAACAAACAAGTATGCCCTCATTCTCCCCGGGAAAGGCATGCAAAGATGAGAAATATGTTTTTTTTCTAAAGATGTCATTAGTATAACTTCCAGAGCCGATTTATTGTCCATACCAGATCCATAGGCCTAAATCTTCACAACATCAAAACCTCTGGGGATCTAAAACAGCAGAGTTTTAGAAACAAACATGTTACTACAACCACCACTAATGGGCGCTGCAATAGCACACAATCATTAGCATGACAACATAAAGGAGTCTGCTGGATAGAGCAGGAAGTGGCTGTGCTGTAAACAAATAGATAATAAGCCTGAAAACAAGGCAGAATGACTTTTAAACAGTACTCAGGGAAACTGCAGTACATGGAATATGTCTATGCAAGTTCAAAACCTCATTTTGGTCCAAAGTGAGCAAGATCAAGTATTGTATTACTCAAATGATGGGACATATTTTAGATTAATAAATATATATTCAGCATCCAATATTGTCAGCACAAATAAAAACATGAACAGTGTCTGAGTCTGACTGTCAGAGAATATTTGAATGTTTCCTGGAGTTTTATCGTTATATGGAAGTGACCGCAGTGTTTGAACAGCTCAGATGGATCCTATATATCCCAAAGAAGATTCACGTGATGTATCTTGCTCCTGTGATGCTAATGATTGGTTCATCAATGAGCCACAGTGGGAAATGGGACAGGATTTTGGACATAAAACCTCACAGGACTGGAAATGGGACTCACTACTGAGGCGTAACAGGGGGCTATTTTCAAAAGCTTTTTACTCCAAAGTGTAGACTGTCTGATCCCAATTCCTTAATTTTTTCATTTTCTCTTTTTGTTTGTCACCTGACTAGTTCCTACGAATCCAATGACAGCGTGCCAGGATGATGAAAGTAACCCCCATCCCTCTGCCTTAAAAACTGTGATCAGGAATCACACTGAGGTCACCTTTATCTGTGGTTTCTGATTCGTTTGGACACGAAAATGAGGTTGACAAGTCTAAGTCTTCAGAGGAAAAGACGGCTGCTACGGGCAGTAAAGTAGCCCCCAGAAGCATGGGGAGCTTGTTCAACCCTATGGAGAAAGCAAAAAAGGCACAGAAAGAGGTTTATCCCTTTTATATCAAGGGGGCTATACAGGGGGGACAAAACCATTTGTGCAGTTCACTTGGGAGTAAGAAGTGTTGTGGACATTACTTTAGACCAGGCAGGTATGGAGGGATGGGAAACGTGGTACAGAAACAAAAAGCAAAGAGGTGTAAAACACACTTTTATCACAGTTCAGTGCTCCTGCATGGTGAATCACTGTGTGTATCTATGTGAGAGTGCTAAAAACATCAACCACCCACTTGTAACGCTTGTGCAGATACTAACTGTCACCAACAAGTGTGCTTTGAGCCAGAGCTACTGTACCTTTGCCATCTTCCTCTCCTGGTCGAGGGTTTCTTGTTGTGTCTGTGAAGAGAGGATTTCATTATTAAAACCCAGAAATGAGGTAATGATTCATAAGTAATGTTGCTTTTGTTAGATATTGAAATGAAAAGATTTACTGATATAACAAAATCTATTGGCCAGTGAAGCATTAGACCATCAAGCTGAGACACTGTAACTCCTGTCCTACTTCCTCCACAGACAGGATGTTTTTTTGTGATGGAAGCCAAGAACCAGTTGGCAAACAAACGTACGTGATACGCTGAAGCCAAAGACGTCCTCATGATCCTTCATCAGCCTCTTCATCAGAGTGCTCTTCCCTGCTCCGGAGGGGCCGCTCAGCACCACAGGCCTCGGTCCTGACATTGTTCTGAGATAGACGGGGGGGGAGACATGGACAGAGTGAGCTCAGGTTTGTGCCAAAAGCAGATTAAAATCTGATCTTCTGTGCCACTTGATGTAACCATTACAGGCATTACAGGTTTGAAGCTATTTGTAGAATAGGATTCATCTTGTGTGAATAATTCTATTCAGAAAATAGTTTTTAATGAATGATTTTTGACCTTTTGATTAAAACAGTTTGCATCAAGTACTTTAAACTCCTCTTCTACGTACACATTACTACTGCAGCGCTGTTAAAGCTCACCAACTATCCTACTAACAGGGACAATGTCAAATAAGGCTGATCCTTTGATCCAAGCCTCTCGTAACCACTACACTGTCAGGAAGAATCATCCCAACACATGCACAGGGTTGAAAGCAGACCTTTGCTCTTATATTATTGTGGTTTTAATCGCCACTAATAATTGACACATAGGAAATTCTCTCTATTTCCTTAATTAAAATATTGAAACACGTCCATGTCCTAATTGCTGACTCGTAAGACAGCCAGAGGCCCTGAGGTTAATGTTAAGAATGCCTGTTAATGAAGTCATGGCAGGTCAGTCAGCAGGATTAATTGGATCTGGGCCAGGCGGCACAAAGGGTCCAGGACAGGTGACCCATTTACCTGCTGCTCTAAGAGAGGATGATGTTTCAGGGACACTTTTGAATCAATTCATTTAGAATCATCATTAAGATAATTACTTAATAACACAGTGAAAGCCTGAAACAGTAAAAAAAAAAAAAAAACATCCAACTTCTCCATTCAACATCTTGTTTTTGCGAATTATTCATTGGCTTCACCTGCTTCTTTTATATAAGAGATCAATAAAGTACCAAACTATTAAAATTTGCCTCCCTTTCTCAAACTTGTTAAGCTTGTAGTACAGTTATCAGATTTAAAACTATTTTGAATCACCTAAAGGACCCAAACAACTATTTTAGCCTTCAGTCACTGCACAAGGCATTTAAAATATCCAAGCAAATACTGTACAAACAACATACATTGTGAATGTGCAGTATGACAGGTTGTAGTACAGTGCAATGCAATTATAATGCACTTTTCCTTTGGTTTCAGTTTGTTCCTGAACCCTTAACTCTGATTACTCAGTATGTTCACAGTATGTTTAATTGCTTGGTTCAATGTAGATAAATGTAGTAATTTTAACAAAGTCAAAAGTTCCACCTTACCTTCTCACACACCGCCTGTACAATCTGTGTCGTTGAGAAGTTCAACAGCAGATGATTCTTCAGCCGGGCTTCTTAATGGACTGTGTACAATGAGTGTGTGTATGTATGTGTATGTATGTGTGTGTGTGTGTGTGTGTGTGTGTGGGTGTGTGTGCTTGTCAGACTGATTCACTGAAGCAGCTCACTGTCAGTCTGAATTACCACCACCTCCCTTCAGCTCAATGACCAATCACATGTGTGCATGCTGGCTTGTTTTTATCCAAACCGTCTATACAGGTCACAATACCATGTGGGCAAGGTAGAAGATTTTCATAAACAAATTATGACGTCACTGTTAAAATTCAGAATCATGTAGTGCAGTTTTATATGGATTTTAGCTTTGAGAGAAAAAAACAGGTTAAGCTTAAGGAGGTCAATATACTGTAATTCTTACCAGTTTTTCCTTCTGATTGTAAAAATCAAACAAAACTTGTTTGTACACTTTTTGGCCTGGAGGAAATGTTTTTATTTTCAATCTTTATTTATCTGGTTTCACATGAAGCTTTACTCTTTTTCGGAAGGTAAACATATTCTGGAAGCTGCTCAGTACAACCACAGTCTATTAAGCAGCTCAACTAGAGCAGTTAGAGGTCAAAGTGGTGGAAATGATGCAAACATCTGCTCTTTTACTTTTCCCACTACACTACACTACATATTTCAAACAAAACAAAAAATCAACCATAAAATTCAAAACTGACACAGTTGTTGGAATCTAAATTACACTGTCCCTCTATTAACTATAATGAAATTGTGATTTCCATGGTTTGATTTGTCCTTGGATCTGAGTGGTCTTCTGTCCCCCACACGGTAAAAGCTCAGAATAGCAGGGTTTAGTGTCTCTCGACTGAGCTGCAGTGGCCTCTGTCTGGCTAATCCTGCACCGACCCACTTCTTAAAGGGCGAATCCACCACAGAGTCATCGTAACAAGGCCATCAACAGGCCTAAAAAACACAAGATGCTTGCGTAAAATCCCCACATATTATCCCCACAGTTAAAATATATTGTGACGCCACAACTTTTTAGACACACGTTTTATTGTAGTAACATTGATAAAATTCGATTTAATGATCCTATACAAAGAAACACATCAATGACAAAGACAAAATGAGCCTGAATGTAATGAAATTACTGTAAATGTTTCCAAACTACTGGACCTAAACAAATAATAAATGATCTAAGCAAAGACAAACTCTGTACAGTAAATACAGTCGGGTTGTTCTGCTAGCCAACATCATATACACACACCAATCCAAACATACACAAAACTATGTACATGTGCTTTGCATGAGATTCAACTATTTATTCCCCTCATAAAACAGAAAAAAGGATTACAAAATCGATAAATATTGTCCCAAAGCGATTTTTCTTTCTATTTGTTTTCAGTGCCTGAGCTCACGGTCGTTTTTTTTAGACGTTTGTTCTGATCTTGTTGGTGTTGCAGCAGGAACATAGATATTGTACAGGGCTGTGAAGGAAGGTCAAAGGTCACACTTGCTGTTTATCAGTGGTTAGTGGACGAACAGGTAGGACCAGGAAAGATGTGAGGAGGAAGAGGAGGACAGGCCAGCTGCCCACACGCCCACCCCTGATTGGCTGAAACACAAGAAGCCTCTTCCCTCATTTGGTGAGTGGCTGCGTCACAGGAAGACCCGTCTCAGGTCTCCAGGTGAGGTGATAGTGTTGCACTGAGGACACAACTTCTTTGCTCCCTGAAAAGAAAAGAAAAGGAACAATGAGACTTTATCAAACATATTCGGGTCATTTTACCTCAATGTCATGTTTATATGAATCAGCACAAATGCGATGATTTACCAATGTTCGAAGCCAACACTCCTCACAGTGAACATGCCAGCACTGGATGGAGGTGAGAGGAGTTGTGTACGTGTCCTGCAGAGACAAAAAACAGGTGATGATTCCTTACATGTAGTACAAAACACTGCCACTAGATGTCCATGTGAAACTACATGAAGTGCAATAAAAGACGCTCCCTGTTAGATCCCTTTAAAGCCCTTTCAACAATAGGAAAGGTCCAGCTGGTGTGTTTCGTGATTTATTACACTGTACTCTTTTAATACATTATAAAATACATTATGTTTTGGCAATATCTCTCCATAAGCCCAAACAAAAATGAGCAAGGTAAACTCCATCAGTTCAAAACCACATTGACTTGCTTCCTTCATCACAAAGGTATGGGTGCAACATTAGTGCATTCATGTGTGCAAGAAGCTGATCGACCTAGATGAAGCAGCTTTGTCTTCACAAAATTGTCAGACTGTGCTTTGATCTATGAAGCTTTTACTGTCAGTTTGTGTGGAGTTGAAGAGCCTTTTTTGAGCTTGTCGTTGAATGACTACAACCTACATTTGGTTGTGCACCATCTTATACCAGAAATAAGGAGATAGATGGATCATTTTTGTTCTGTTATTTAGTTAATAATTAAAATGAAAATAAAGTAAATAAATATTCACAAGCTCTCAGATGCCAGGGAAATGGCTTCTTTTGTTCAATTGACTGTCCAAAACAGCAATATAAAGCAGAGAAAAGCTGCAAATTCCCATATTTGACTAAATGTCATGAGCAAATATGCTGCATTTTTGCTAAATAAATTACTTAAATGATTCGTTGATAGTTTCTGTAGATCAACTATTTGATTAATTATCAGCACCAGCGTAAAATGTTTTATTTGTTTATTTTTGCATGGACCACGCACAGTTGAAGTGCTGAGTAAGTAAGAGTAAGCTAACAGCTCATTTGTATATTTTTTCCCTGGGCAAGTAGACAAAAAAACTACCACAAAATGGTCAATATATAAAACAGCACAATAGAAAAAAGTCTGTCAGTTTGAGATAATACATAGAATCATGACAATTAATACAATAAATACAAGGAAATCATTGGTAATTTTTGTGCTGACTTCAGCCAGAGCTGGAGGCTGAACACTGCGGTACCCATCACTCGTAGTAGATTCTCAAGTTCTACCGGCACTGCCGGGATAGGCCAGGAAATAATGAGTAATTTAAAACAAAAAAATAGTTTTTAAAACATAAAATCAGTGTCAGAGCTAGGTTTCAAGATCACTATTTGTCCTATATATCAATCTACTGTATATTAACATAATACAGAATTGATTAAACAACATACTTTCCAATTTCATGTCAATGGTAGTTTAAGTTGGATGTAAAACAAATTTACCTTTCAAATAATATAATTTTAAGTAATATAAATAGAAATCCATATCAACAGATCAAGATGTCATATTTACATTCTATTGAAAGTGTATGACCAGGACATATTAACATAGGTCCCTGCAGGAATATCCGCAGTTTCTGCATTACTGCGCTGTTGTCTCTATCTTTTCTCTGTCGATTTAATTTGCCTCCGTACTCACCATGCAGATGAGGCATTTAAATCTGTCTCCTTTGGACAACTGTTTCTCCAAATCCCGTATCCGAGCTTTAAGTGCATCCAGAGTTGTCAGCGTGGAGTCCTCTGAGAGCCTGCACACACACACACACACACACACACACACACACACACACACAGATGGACGGTAACAGGAGGAGAGAGGGGAGGAGATGGGAGAGTTAGGCAGACACTGGAGAGTCATTTATAAATCGAAGACAGATTAAATTATTCGCTGGCCAACATGGACACTGAGCATGAAATTTATCAGCAATCACATCGCCTGCATTCGCTGTCTCATTTATCATAGGCAGAGGGGAGGGGGGTGAGGGTCCTCACAGAGATAGACATACACACGGACAAGCGCACAATTACAGAATAGAGTGTATGTGCAAACATACTGTACAGCGAGGCAGACAGGCTACAATGCATTAAGTGTGATGAAATGTGTGTACATGCGTGTGTCGCCTGCTGTGACCTTGATTGATGATATCATCACATTGATATAGTATTATATATCACACTGGTTGGAGCAGGGGCAGGTAGGGCTACAACACAGAAAGCTGGGCTGCTAAAGTAAGGGATGGTTACACTTACTCTGCTCTGATTGGCGGATTCACTACACCCAACCTACCTCACTACCACCAGCATGAGTATGATGATTTATGATTGATTTGTAACTTGGTTTCAGTGGTTTTTGTTGTTTCACTAAACAATTTCAACTTTAAGTTTTAAATTTAAAACATTGAAAACCTTTCGAGATAATCAGCAGTGAGGATGTTCAAGCGCTGAGTAATGTGACACAGACATAGTTGCAGTGTACTGAAGGCTCTGAATGACCCCAAAATGTATTTACTTACGTCTCTATCTCAGAGTTTTTGCAGGTTTTGGGGAGACCAGCTATGCTCCCGTCCACTTTCTCTCCGCTGCTGGTAGATGGACTCCCTGAGTGAACAAACACAGATATTCATGATGCAATAAAGATCCTGTTTGTGTACAATTCTCATTTTTTCCTTATCTAATCTATTAATTCTTTCAGATTTTGCTTAACTCACCATCATTTGACCATTTGGAAAACTCTAGGTTTACTCTGGAGTCAGGCAATGTGCTGCTGGAAAAATATTAAAATAAAAACAAAAAGACCCACAAAAGATTGTTGAAAAATCACCTCAGATAAATAATAAAGGATAGATTGTGTGGTTATATCTAACTGAATGAGACCCTATCAGGTGGGATACATACTTCACTGTTGTCTCCTTGGAGTTTTCTCCTGAGCAGGGGATGATATCTGTCTCTGTGTATCTGAGAACAAAGGTCAGGAAACATAGAACAACACAAGGATAACATCAAGTAAGACACTTACATAACCTGGAAAATGCTGGAAAATAGTACGTACAGTGGTAGTTTGTTTGACTTTATTTTAAATCCATCCATTCCAATAATCAGTCACATTTGATCCAAGTGGAGGTAATTTCTCCCAAGTTAGAGCCATCCTATCTATTACTGCTTTTTTAAAAGTTCAGTTAGTAACAAAAGTAAAATTCAGTGTCACTGCTGTGTTCACTGTAAAGGATACTGCGCTCTGCCGTACTCCAGAGTGTCATCCCCGTCTACGTCCAGGTCTGCATCGCTGTCTCGACACTCCTTAGAAGTTGTGCTCACCAGGACTGCACCTGAGGAGACATTTTCACAAAAACATCAAAACTAATTTCGATGGTGTTCCTGTTTAAAGAAGTTTGGTTTGAAGTTGCTTGTAAAAAGACAAAGTGGAGAAGTTCTGTTCTTATTTCTAAGGTCATAATAGGGTGAATTTCACAAAATGTTATGTTTTCCTGTCTTTATACCCCTCTGCTTTTTTCTGTCAGTCAGCGCGTAACAAGTTTGCAGGTCAGAGTTTCCTTCTCGGGTAAAAGAAACCGTTACTTTTAAGCTAACCTTAAAGGCATCTTGCTCCGCTGTAATCTTGACTGAAAAGTTCAGTGGTTTTTCAACCGTCACTCAGTCACATTATTCACCCTCCACTGAACAAGATCATACGCGCACACACTTATTACACACACAGATTCACGCTTACCTTTAAACCCTCCAACTATAGACGCCATTTGTATCCTTCTCCTGTCATTCCATTCGTCCTCCAGCGGCACCATGTCCGCTGAGCCCTCCTGAAACACACACACACACACACACACACACACACACACACACACACACACACACACACAAAGTACACAATTTGAGTGTCTCTGTGAACATTTCTATATGCCTCCCAAAGCCTCCAGCTATGTATCTGATTCTGTGTTTTCATAGCTGTGAACCCGTGTTTTCACATGGATACACAGCGAGCTGACAGTGATCCTGATGCTACATGAACAAAAGCAGTCAACAGTGTCGGGGGGGGGGTTTGGACCACCAACATTCTCTCAACCTAACAGTGGTTCCTGCTATACTTATATTCATCTCGGATTACAATAAAAATGCCATCTGCATTCTTAAAAAAAAAAATAACCCATACCTGTCCCTCTTCTGGTTTCCTCCTCTTCAGCTTCCCGATCCTGACTGGGAACAGACAGAAGACAGAGACAGATGAGATGGTGACACTGACTTTAAAAGCAGGACACTGTCACTTCACTAGCTCCCTTTTTTATCAGCTTGTGAGCTCCTGTTTTACTCTGTAACTCTCCAACTTCATACAAACTTTATACAAACCTTTATTCCCCACTGCAGGTTGAATAAGTGTCTTAAAATCCAAATAATTTCCACATGATAATGTGTATTCTACTTTTCTCATCCTAAATGTATATTTTATTTCAGTCTTACTTTACAATGTAATGTTTTAACATCAAGAACACAACATCAAAGGCATACAAGTCTCTGTTTCAGGGTTTTATTAATGTGAACATTAGAAGTTCCATTAAGAAATTAAGATTTAAATTAAGGTACACTATAAAACCATTTTACTGTTACACTGTTATATTATTTTGGCATGTTGTAGGGATAGTGTTGTAGTTTTTTCAGAAGGGTTCAAAGAAAACATTAGGGTGAAGTGAGACATAAGATTCAGCCCTCCTCACCACCGATTTATTATACAATCTCAAAACATCAGTTATTTTCATTTTCAGCTATTTTTTATTCTAGCGACAGAATATTTTTCTGTGACTGTGGTAGAACAACGTAATCTTCATGTTGTTTTATGACGGTGTGTAATATTTGTTTCAGAGTACAATGTACTATGATGGAAACTTCTGCAGTTGTCAGATGGTATGTAAAAGATTGTGGAGTAGCTCTGCTAATTTGAAAAAATAAAATAGTTGTATATATTAGAGTTAAGAGTAAAATACAAAGCAAAAAATGTATGGTTAAATGGTTAAAAACTTCCAGATTCTGCCATCACAATATATGATCATTTCCAACCTGACCAAAAAAGAAAATAAGAGATCAAGTCTAAACATTGACAGTTTCAGGATTATTAAGTTTTAAGTATGCAAAATATATTGTAACAATATCCACTTTTATATAATTAGTAGTAGCAGATCAACACACTGGGTGGTGATGATGGGATAATCGAGCTCATCTGACAACAACATCCAAAAATAAAGACTTCTTCTGTCGTTTTTTCACACAGCAAGTTGACCACATACACACACACAGACCTGAACGTACAATTATACACATAAGAGCCAGAAAGCACAGATGGGAGCTCTTTATACACAACATCTGCAGGTGGATGCAAAGCGTTCCTCCCATCTCCATCCTGTCATCCCCCCTCCCCCTCCCCCCTCTCCCCTCAGATATAAAAGTTAACATGGCAGAACACCAACTGCACCTCCTCTCCCACTGTGACCTGACTGACTGCAGATTGCATAAGGGGACATTAAGTTTTAGGGCCCTCTAATTCCCACTGGATGACAGTGACCCCCGAGGGGGTGAGGGGGGTGGACACACAGAGAGCTGGTGGCTGTGACCCGAGCACCGCCATCGCAGCGAACATAATGAGGGTTAAAGAGACGGTTTTAGATGAGGAAGAGCTCATCAAACGGGGAGAGGAGAGAGAGGAGAGAGTGAGAGAGGTTGATTAATCAACAGAGGAGCCCTCTCCTCCTTCTTTCTTCTGCTTCCTCCCTGACATGTATTTAGAAGCTCATTATGCTGTCCTGTTATAAGGCCCAATAAAGGCTAACAGACCCCGACAGCACTGGCAGTTTGAAGAGTCAGCTAAGAGCCGGAGAATCTCAGCGGTAATAATAACAGTAGTAAGATGTCAGCTGCAGCTTTAAGGATGCTCTGTGGATCTATATGTCTGTATCAGCACACAGACACTATTATATAATATATATATTTAAAATGGTTTGAGACAGTTGAAATAGTTTTATTATCATTTATTCTTTTATTAATTAGTACCACTTTCTCTAATAAGTCGCCCTATATAAAAGGTTTATTTGTTGTGAGTGGTGGCTTTATTAACGGTTCCTATAATCTTTTACTAATCATTTACTTTGCTTCATAGATTAGTTTTAAGCCATTAATAGGAACAAGTTGACATCACTTGATAGATTATGGTACCAACCCTTCATTAATGACATACTAGGAAGATAATCACCAGCACGAAACTTAAAACATTTACTTCTTACATTAAAAGTTTACATTTTAGAGATACATGGTTTGATCAAAAAAACCATTAGTTATAACTTATAAGCCCTTTAGTAGAAAGTCATATGCTTTGTTTTTAAAATTGAGAGACTGGAAGGAAAAAACTCAGCAGCTGTTCATTATAGTTGATAATGAAGAAAGTGCTTCTCAGTGTGTCTTACCAGCTTGTGTGCAGTCTAGGTGGGCTCCTGCGCTGTGGGGGCGTAATGGGGCAGATTTGACGTAGCACCTGCACCAGCAGAGGTCATCGACTGTTAACATATCAAGAGGTCAAAGTTGAAAGGTTAATAGCTCCTCTGCTCGTGTGGGCGCTAGGCCAGTGGAAATGTGGTGGGAAAAAGGGTGATATCTGAACGACTGGTGAGGGAGGGAGGAGGGGGAGTTGGACGAAACACATAACTGGTGGCATCAGTGTGAACAAAGGAAACTGTAATGTTTTTAAAAAACTCAAAGCCATTTAAAACTGCAGACCGTAACAGTCTTGACAGCTGAGCTTTCCCTTAACTACAAACTGAGTCAGCAGCGATGAAACACAACTCTGCATGCATCAACGTACCATTCAGTCTGGTGTGTCTGTTGGCCCGCACACGGAGAAACGTCTGAAACAAACACAAAGAAACATCAGGATGTTTCATATTTTTCTCATGCAGAATATAATTTTTCATTTACATTTCAACTGGAACAAATGAACAGCAGCACAGTGGATTGAAGTAAGACATTACAAAACACACTTCATTAGAAAGCAAAGATAGCAAATTCAGTAATATTTTATGCATTTCTTCAACTTATTACGCTTAATGTCTACTGATTAAAGTATGTTTGTACTATATTTACTTAATATAGTTTATAATATAAAAAAATAATATCTGTTTATTTATATTGTATTTCTATTACTCCCACACTGTCTCCTCTGTATATATGCCATATATTGCATCTATATAAAGTTTTTGTTTTGTGTGGAAGTTTTCCTCAAGGGCGTAAGGAAATACAGTACAATATGTTGTTCAGGTTGTAAAAACCAACCTGTGTTCTTGAGCTATATAAATAAAATTGACTTGACTCGACTCTTACTTTTAAGTGAGGTGTTGAATGTTGAGCACAGCATTTGATCAGCCCCAGACCATAAACCCGGTGAGTCACTGGCACCACACCAGGACAAAAGAACTGTTTTTACAGTGCCGCTAACTACTACATGTCAGGTACTGTTTTAGTGCACTAATCAAAAGTATCAGCACGCACATTTGGAAGGGACACATACAAAATTCAGGTAAGAAACTCAGTAGTAAAGTAATTACATGCAGTAGGAACATGGCAAACAACATAAATAACTAACTGTATATTTATTCATGTTTGTACTTATATCGCACTGTGGTCTGTACATCTTTTGGAAAAGCGTGAATTTGTCAGTTTCTTCTTCTAAATCTGACATGTACCATATTATTCTGAAAACCTGGAACTCCTGATAATCTGATACTGGTTTTGTGTATATTTTTAACCTCACCTGGTATCGGTCAGAGTGCGCGTCCTCAGACGGTCGAGGGGGCGAGGTGGGAGAACCTCCTTCACGCTTGATATGAAGAGACAGCGAGAGTGACTGGCGAGAAAATGGATAAAGAACAGAGAAAAAGAGAGTCAAAGGCCTGAATGAAAGCTGCTGCGTTCTCTTGAAACTCACAAGCAATATCAACCGTTTACCTTGGGCGTCCTTATGAGGTGGTCGTGGTGCCCTGGAGTGGCACTGCAGAGAAAAGAAGCAAATCATACAGAAGCTCGTATGTTAAACAAGCTTGTGAATAGAAGCCAACACACACACAAACACACACAAATCAACTACACTATGTTCCTATAAAATATACAAACACAATATTGTCTTTTAAATGTCATCTCGTAAATAACCTCTTCCTTTATCTTGTCTAAATTTCTATCTGAGTCTGTGTATAACCTCATTTTACACTTGTATCACACAGATACAGTACACACATTCACTCACACACACACACACACACACAAACACACACACACACACACACACACACACACACACACACACACACACACACACACACACACACACACGGATACACACACACACACACAGTGTCCCCGTGGGCCAAGTTCAATTTGAAACCATTACTGTCCACGGAGCGGTCGTTAAGCAGATTTGGAGTGTAATGTCTTTATTGGAGGAATCATTCTTCTGGTCTAAGCAGCAGGTAATGTGTGTGTGTGTGTGTGTGTGTGTGTGTGTGTGTGTGTGTGTGTGTGTGTGTGTGTGTGTGTGTGTGTGCGCGTGTGTGTGTGCGTGTGTGTGTGTGTGTGTGCACCTCTGGTCCTCCTGTGTATGTTTTAGACTAGTGAGCGTGCGTGTATGTAGGGCTCAAAGCAGCCATTAGCAGGACATTATCCACCCGCTGTATGATTTGTCGCCTCGAGGCCGGAGGCTGTAATATGAAATATGTAGGGAACAATGAGGCAGCTTGTAAACAGTGCACGCAGGTGACAGAGAAGACGGGAGATGCCACCTGGGGAAACTGAAAGGGGGAGGGGGGCCTCTAGTTACTAAATCTGTCAACATTAATTATCACCTGAAAGCTGAACAGAATAGAAAGTCTGGGTTGCAAAACAGGAAGAAAATGACAAATGGATAAGTTGGAAGAAAATGGTTAGAAGGAGGATGTGAAGATGTGATTCTCAGTTATAAAACCACTTGTTGGCAGAATGTTAAATAAAGGCAATGGAAGAAGATTTAGTGATAGTGAATGGACGGAAATCAGACAGTGGTCATTTGTGATCAGATCGTGGTACCTCATTTGAAGTTGGGCGAGTTTGGTCAACTCCTGCTCCATGTGTTCTTGCAGCTCTCCTGGTCGCAGAATAGCCTGACAGACTGGACACGCTGGGGCCTGAGAGTCATAGAGACCCTTCACTTTACCTGGATAATAGGAGAGAGTTAAAAGAGGTGTTACAGGGAAAAACTGTACCATGATTTTACCATGCTGGGTTGGCCTTTGAGGCAAACAGTTTACTGCACTCAAGATTTACATGAACTAACGTTGGGTAAACGTTGTCAAAGCTAGCTCTGTTTTATGAATACTAAAATCTAAGTCACTTAATGTCGCATGCCTGCATAAATTTACAAAGGAACATTTATGACGGACAAACAAAAATATTCAGATTTAAAAAAACACCAAACAAAACATCAGATTTGTGCATTAAATTACCTTTCTGTGGTCAGTTAAAGGGCATTTTGCGTCAGTTTAGAGCTGACACGAAATAAGGTGAGAGAGAGGAAGAATGACATTCACCAAAAGCCTTAAGCTAGACTCAAACTGGGATGTTGTGATTACTTGGTCAGCATCTTAAACCCCTTGACCACCATGACACCTCTGCTCATTAAATTCTAACTCATAGGATTTTTGTAGTTGAGAACAGCCTTCACTGTGTGTGTGTGTGTGTGTGTGTGTGTGTGTGTGTGTGTGTGTGTGTGTGTGTGTGTGTGTGTTCAGTAGACCCATCTGTACTATTGACAGACAGTAGTGAGACTAAAATAAGGTTACAAACACACATAAACACACAGACACACTGCTATGGCCCCCTGCTGTCAGAGTGTTGACATCATAGGCTGTCAATAGGAACATTACCCAGGAGGGCCACCCGGCCCATTGGGCTCCACTGATGGATTACTGCCATAAGCAGCCAGCTGGGAGCCGGAGGAGCTCTACTATATCAAGATTTTACCTAGTAGATGAGGTGATTTACTCCTGAAAGCCATCAATCACATGGAGAGAGCTAGTAGGCAAGATGCACCTAATTTCCCATCTCTGCACAGTCAAGGGAAAACAAATGACAAGGCTGGCAAATACAATTTAGCACTTTAAAATATAGAACATTACAAACAGATTAGTATTTTTGACAGTTTCTGACCCCTCAGTGTGCAGCCTAGTGGACTGAACTTCCTTCAGGACCCTATTATCCAAACACTGGACCAACACTTTTCCCCAGCTCCACTCCAAATGACCAGTGACATGACGAGTTCTGATGTCGATGTCTGTCGGCAAGTGCCGTCCCCTGACATCAGTTGAGCTATGAGCCCCCATAATGAGGAACCAAATAGGACAAAATGGCCTCTAAATAAAACATGGGGTGGAAAATAGAAAGCGGAGTCGGGTGTCCTTGGGAGAGTGACAGCTCTCCTGGTTTCACCCCCCTCTCTCTCTCTCGCCTTTTTTGCATCCCCTCGCGGAAGCCTAAATGACTTTTCCCGACACGCATCGAACGTTCCCGGGCTTTCTGCGCTCTGCCGCCCGGAACATGCAGGCATCAGTAAACAATGAAATCTCTGGGCTGAAATTGAATTTATAACCACATTACCTGCACAGATAACGTCTCTGAATGGCGCCGTGATAAGAGCAATTGGATTTGATTTTCAGGTGTTTTATTGGTCCACTTTTTGGATAAGCCCCCCTCTTCTGACTACAGCGTCTCCCCCACCCTTCACCTCTGCTCCACACAAACATCCGATTTAATGGTGTGGGAGTGGGCATGTTTGGATGTATGGATGAGTGTGTGTGTGTGTGTACATGCTTTTGCTGAGACCTGACTCGGTGTTTGTGCTGTACTCTCGTAAGTGACAGTTGTTGGTTCGTGACCACCTTTTTACACGTCTCCATCCCCCCACTGCCCTGCGCCCCGCGCCCACATAAACCCTGTCAGTATCAGTCAGCCTCAGCCCCTCTTCAGCCTGGGGGGTCTCAGACACACAACAGGGGGCTGTAAAACCTGCCTGTGGGGCTTGTTAACTGTTCCCTCACTACGGCAACTGGCTCAGATGGATCGGCCCTCTCTCGCTGGGCTGTGCTGGGTTTGACTGGCCCATCTCCTAATGGATTCACTGTGTCTGTGTCTCTGATTGTTTCCTTTTTCTGTCTTTGTGTCTCGCCAGTTCAGGACCTCCTTTCCTGGATGTCTAGCCTTTGTATAGCTGCCATTTGCTCTCTTCACTTACTGATCCCACTTGGGAGGATGCTTCATTGGCTGTATTTAAGTCTTGTTCCGATGAAATAAAATGTGTGCATTAGAATGGCACAATTTCATTTTTATTTTTGTGTTCATTTCAAAAGCGGACTAAACCATTTTCATAATCACTTTACAATGATGCTTTTATGTACAACTGGAAAACCTAAAAAACTGAATTCAAAATCAATTTGTACAAACTTTTATCAGAAAGGATTCAAACGGACATACACAAACATTCCTGACTACAATCTCTATCTTATCTCCCCGTGGATTTGAAGAGAACACACACACACACCCTGGGGTTGAATAACCCATCAAAACACTGCGATACGTCTGTGCCCCATCCCCGCTATCAAGAGCATCATGAGATAGTAAAGTTCATGTTTTGAAACAAAAGAAGATATCATTGTCCTCTGCATCCCCTTGTATGATTGATGGTCAGTTCCAGTTTCTGTTGTTCTGCATCAAAACATGGACTGTGACTAGCCTGTATTCAGTGCTCGCCATTGAAATAGAGAGATCAGAATCCCGCTGACAAATCCTCAAAGCATCGAGTCCCCCTGAGGGCCTGGGTAATGGCCGATGCCAGCGCCCATATGACGGCTGCCAGTTCTGCTGATGCAGACGGAGCGGAGATGCCTAACGTGACCTTTAGTGAATGCCACATCACATCAGGCCTGGATGTCACCCGTTGACATTATGCTGGGGCATGAAAAGGCTGTTCTGCAGGGGAGACATGGTGACGAACGTCCCCCTGGTGACAAACCTGTGGACGTGGTATAATTCTGATTGACATGTGGAGGATTGGACGGCTTTGAATGGCAGGGGACGAGCCACCATCCAGGGGAGGATGTGGAGCTTGTTTTGTGTCGGCTGGGTCTGTTTTTCTCTGTGTTCACTGGCGATAAAGTGCTGAGACAACTCACTCCAACTGGCATCATTATCCCAATCATCAAACAATTCTCTAAGCACATCAGAAATCCCTCTATAAAGTCATAACAAGCACAGACTCTATATAACCAGTAGGCATGTAGAGATTGGCGGGGGGAGTAAAGTTAACGCTTGGCGGCGAACACTGCAGTGGTGGGTTGTGTAGGCAGGTCCTTGGCACACTTTCAGAGGAGTTGGAGGGCTATAAAAGCCATTGGCTCCTGCCACACCTGTACCCCACCCTATCCTGCGGCCTGCTTCCTATTTAAAAGCATCACATGCAGGATATTAGTCAGGGTTTTTTGCCGTCTGTGAGGTAGAACTAACCTCTGAAGCAGAGGGGGGAGAGGGGAAAGTATGCAGGCCGCCGTTTGTTTTTTATTGGGGAAATAATGGCCTATTGAGAGGTTGGGTATTTAATGAGCAACATAATAGGCCCTGTAGTAACACATCTGCTATGAGCAGAGTCATTTCCTTAGCTTTCAAAGGCTGCTGCTCCAGCCTTTGAAACAGCAAGTCCAGTTGCCTTTGACTTAGTACTTCTAGATATCTGCTTTTTATTAATTGCAGAATTGCTACACCAGTAATACATAAAAGACAAATGTGCTGCTAGGCTCCATGTCCAATCCTCACCACATTCAACGGCCGATGAAGGTACACTTCCTCTTCTGGCTTGACCTCAAATCTCTCACTGTCCAATCTAATTCTAGCATCCTTCAAAAATATCCCTCCTACTCTGCAATCAATTGTGTTTAATGTATTAAAGACACTCACCACAACCACCACAACCTTTGGCCCTTGCACAAATCAATGCCTCGTTAGACCACTAATGATCATTCATTGACTAATAAGATCTGTATCAACCTCTTGTAGAACATTGATTGGCCTTTGGCCTCTGTAGTGCTCTGAGCATTACGTGGACAACGGGAGACGGCAGCTGTAAGTCCTGGGGAGTCAGATGATGAAAAAGCTCCTGGTGGGAATGGACAGGAATCCTAAACCCCAAATAGACTCATTCTGAAGCACCTCAGGCCAAAGCCCTTTTCTTCTGCCCTACAGATCAATGAACATAACCTCTCTGACCACAGGTCAATCAGCACACAAACCCCCAATTTCTCTCCCCTCTCCCTCTTGTTCTTTCTCTCACTCATCTTCTCCATTAGTCACTACAATTGTTCCATCAGGTGCGGGTGTGGTTCAGCATGTATGTGTCCAATCATCTCGTTGATGGAGAGTGGACTGGGTAGCTGTGCGACTGTGTCCCTGTGACCATATTTCCCTTCTCAGGACCTGAGGGCAAAGATCGAACCCTGCCTCCGCTTCCCTCCAACCAATCAATCTGGCCCTCATTGAGATGCATGGCTCAATGATCTTTGATAGTGACTTACAGATTGGGGGGGGGGGTTAGGACTGTCCTTGGGTATCTGCCATAATATGAGGCTACTTACAAGCCACCTCATGGGAAAATATCTGCAGATTTGTTCTGAAATAGTCTGATGATTCTTGGTGGGGACAGAGCTTATAAATACCCATTTTATTGTTGCAGGTTTGGAGTCTATGTTTCAATGTCTACTCCCTGAATGGATCTAAGTGAACTCACTACCAGATCTGATCACATGATGTGTCATGGTCTTCACAGGTGAAAATGACATGAAGAAAATTAAGTATAAGAAGGTAAAAACAAACCTCTCTTTTGCAAATAATTAACAAAGATAACAAGCAAGCTGTTCTCTCTCTAATTGGGGTTTTCTGGTCCGGTTTGGACGTCTTAATTCAGGTGCATTTATCCTCTTTTCGAATTGGTCCTGATCGTCCTTCAGGATCTTTGGGATCGGGTCTATTTTTAATCATTATAATTATACATTTCTATAATTTATCAATTTAACAATTTCCATGAATACCTCTACATTACCTTACCTTGTGACAGCATGGCTGGTTTAACTGCAGCAAGGACCACAGTACTGGAATCTCTTTATCTTTGTTAAG